GTCATGATAAACATTTTATTCAAGCTAAGCTTACTTCCTGTAGTGCTGTGTCTTCACACTTACTGTTTCTCAGCAACAAAATTCAGTTGAAATATTGTTTTCTATGTGAAATCTGTGTTCAAGTTGTACGGTCATTTATAACAAAAATAGTGTGATTGCCAGGAAAGAATTTTTTCAAAGTACACAAAAGAGAAGGGAAGTGAAACATTTCCATGTGTACAAACTAATATTTTTCAAGGATAAGCCAGCTCAGTTTAAGTGGCCATTGATATATAGGCGAGTCATGACAGCTGGGCATTGTGAAATTTGGCTATAGACATCTTAGTTATTTTATCTGAACCTTCCATTTTCATGTTACATCGAATTAGGACAGATTAAAGAGAATGGTGTATAAGAAATCATTCAAAATTTTTTAATGATTGACTATCAGAAATTCAAAAAAATCATGAGAATGAGTCACTTTACATTTAAATGGAGCAATAATTACCTTATTGTTTCCATGGAAATGACCTTTACTTTAAACTATTTACCTGAAAAGTCAGGAACAGATGTATTAACAACATCAGTATCCACTAATACTTGAATAACTGATATCCTTAGAGGGATACATGTGTTTAGTAGTAGATAAGTTCTGATTTTCATAAGCATGGGTAATTTTTCAAATAACCTGTAGTTTACTTGTTTTTCCATTTATGGGTGGCTTCTTACTTAGCTATTTCCTCTTATTTCTCTTTTATAAGCTCCTTTATGATAACGTGGCTGGGGAGAATTAGTGAAGCCTGTAGTGGGAACATCGCTTCGTCATTCATTCTTCTGCATTTGTCATTTGGTCATCGCAACATAATACTTTTAAAAGATAGTGCCGTGTTTGTGACCCTCATCGACTAATTTTCTGTGATGCTTAGATATTTTCTTGTACTTGCACTTTAAAACTCCGGAATTATCTTTATCTTACTAGCATTTTCAAGATGCTTCTTATCAGTATGTTATATGTAAAGGAAAATACAAATAGCATGCAGCTCAATGAATTTTCACATATTAGACACATTCATGTAATCAGCACCCAGACTTGGAAGTGGGATGTTACCAGCAGTCCTGTTACCAGATGTTATTTGCTTCTCTGTGTGTGTGTTGTCTCTTTTCTCTTGAAGCACTAATTCTTTTGTATTTATTTCCTTTCTGTACTTCTCAGCAATCTATCTACAGCTTGATAAAGGTGCTTCATAAACGCAGAGCCATATTTGTTTTTTAGAATACCATTACTATTGTTGGAGAGTAATTTAAATTTTTTAAAAAATAGTTGTTTTCCTTCTGTCTCCTCTTACCCTTTTATCATTTCATGCTGTGTTTTCCTTTCAATTGATCCAAAAGTACTTCTTCACTTAAAAATGGATGCTTTTTTTTTTTTTAGTATGTAAATTCAAGGCTCACAAAAGATGTGCAGTGAGGGCAACGAATAACTGCAAATGGACCACCCTGGCCTCCATTGGGAAGGACATCATAGAAGACGAAGATGGGGTGAGCAGCTGCCCTGCCTCTGATCTCTCTTAGCACCTCATCTCTTATCCTGTGCTCTTGTGGAAACTAATGATAGAGAGATAAGTGAGAATGTTTGTTGTTAGGATTACATGGGAAGTTTTAGTTGATTATGCTTTTATTTTTAATTCAATCCTTCATAGCTTTCTTCAGCTCTTAGGTTTTGGGGGAAATCTGTTGTGAATAGGGCGTAGGAGTGGCTGTTGTGCTAGGCTAGTGTTGTAGACCTTTATCTGACACACTCCGAGATATTCTTAAAGGCATAGCTCAGATGATCACGCTCCAGATTTGGGGGCCTCCTCTCCACAGTACCCCTCACCTTCAAAACCTTGCCGCCATTGCACCCTGCATAGGAGTCTCTGATAGCACTTAGTGATCACGTGATCACAATCCCTTTGCATGCCTTTCTCCTCAGCTAGATTGCTGCCTGAATCTCAGAGGGTAGGGCTTTCATCCTTTCATTTGTGTCCCTACAGGGTTTAGGCTTGATAGATGCTCAGTAAATATGGGGTGAATGAGTGAAGGCCATGCATTATATGTATTAGCGACTCCCTAGTGTAAGAAGTCACTCAGCACCTTCCCTGGGGTGAGCGTGGTGTCTGCCACGTCTTCACTCTGGCTGCCCTTTGTTCCTGCTCCACAGGTCGCTATGCCTCACCAGTGGCTCGAGGGCAACTTGCCTGTGAGCGCCAAATGTGCTGTCTGCGACAAAACGTGCGGCAGTGTTCTCCGTCTACAAGATTGGAAATGCCTTTGGTGTAAAACGATGGTGAGGGCTTTGGAATCATTCTCGTCGTTCTTAATTGTTAGCTTCTTTCCCTAACTTTGTTGTCTGTGTGGTTTGCAGGTAAAGCAAAGAATTTATGGCAGAGCAGAGTCTAGTAATGCACACCCCCTATTGTGACATCCTTCTTTTCTTAAAGTGTATGTCTTCCAATTCTGTAATGTTTTCAGATGCCCTTTTTGTAATACTACTCTTGTCCGTATATTTTCTATGTCTCAGGATCTCTCTCCTACAGGTTTTTTTTTTTTTTTTTGAGACAGAGTCTCACTTTGTTACCCCAGGCTAGAGTGCCATGGCGTCAGCCTAGCTCACTGCAACCTCAAACTCCTGGGCTCAAGCGATCCTTCTGCCTCAGCCTCCTGAGTAGCTAGGACTCCAGGCATGCGCCACCATACCCGGCTAATTTTTTTTTCCTATATACTTTTAGTTGTCCAGCTAATTTCTTTCTATTTTTTTAATAAAAACGAGCATCTCGCTCTTGCCCAGGCTGGTCTCGAACTCTTGAGCTCAAACGATCCGCCCACCTCTGCCTCCCAGAGTGCTAGGATTACAGGCGTGAACCACCATGCCCAGCCAATCTTTACATTTTTATTACTATTCATTTTAAGACAAATTTCTATTAAAAAGGAGAAATTGCAAATGTGTACATTTTACTTTATAGTGTATAAGCTACCTGCATGATTAAGTTATATTGCTGAAATCAGTTAGAATCATGGCATTTGTGTATTCCAAAAACTATTTAAAAATTAGAAGATATTCTCTATACTTCTTTCTCCCATTTTGATCAAATTCACGATGACTTTACAAGACTGTTAATGTAAAGACATTAAAGATAGTTAAAACCATTAGTCATCATGCTTTGCTTAGAATTCAGCAAAGAACAAAATGAGAGAATGAAATAGCAAGCCTGGTTTATTTGTCTGAATAATACTTGTCTCATGATAAAATAATAAATGCAAGAGAAGGAATACTTATAGTTACATCATCTAGTATAGCAAAAATAAGTAAAATAAATGCTGAAGGTGATATTTATTCAGATAACATCAGTGGCCCCAGTGAAACTTGGAGATCTCTAGAATGCTGTGCCAGTCCTCGGAGCCAGGAGTATATTATGATTTAATGGTACCTCTCTGCTGCATCTGATGAGCTGTCCTAGCAAAACATTTTGAAGCAATAAAGCATCCATTTGGCTCCTAAGTAATGAGAGAGGCCTTGCTCTTTGCATTAACTATTTATTCAGGAAGAGAAGTGACCAACTGCTAATAAGCTTTATCCAAAGAGGGTCGTGGAAAACGAAGAAATTGCAAAAGTGAGGTTCTCTTCAATTTCATATGCAATTAGCAAACACCCAGAGCTGACCGGTTGGTGCTGCTCTTCCATGTGACTTTTGGCCGGCTGTATTTAAGTGCGAGTGCCTGTCAGATGTATTTAAAGCTGCTGGGTTTAAGGAAGGACTGTGTAGCCTTAACCAATGACAAAGGAGAGGAGGCAGTGACTCGTGAGTACCTAAGACTGGCTGATCTCTCTACTGTTTTGAATAATGGACTTATTTTCTGAGATGAATAGAAGTGATTTAGGTTTGTTAGTTTACTCCTTTTGGGAAGGGTTCCTTCTATTTTTCTTTTTAGATGATTATTACTTTTTTATTACTTGTAAAATTTGCTCTATAGTGTAATGTAACATTTAGATTTATCACTTGATCAAGAGGCTTTTAACCTGAGGGAAAAAAATCCTATTTTCTGTATAAATAAATATGTAATTTATTATTGGGAAATAGTTTCTAGCTAGGGATGTAACATTTTGCTCTTGTTCCACAAGTAAATGATCTCTTCTTTGCAGTAAATGCTTAGGATTTAGTCACTTGAAGATTACAACAAGAATATTGTATTCACAAGTAAATAAGGGCTGTTTTCAAATTATTTCAGAATCTTACTTTGAAGCACTTTTGGTGCTATAAACATGGAGTTTTTATTCCTCTTGGTTTAAGGTTCTTAATATAATTAATTTGCCTTTTTTAATGACATGAAAAAAGATGAAAGTCACAATTATTTTCTTCCCTAAAGCCAACTAAAGGATTTTTATGCTAATTCTTCCTCCCTGCTCTTACTGAAAAGTAGTACAATGGAGTTCTACAAAATGGAAGAAAAAATTTTCATATAAATCATATTAAAATAGACAGTAGAAATGCTGTGTAAACTCAATATTATTTAACTATTAACAGAATATTCTTGATACCATAGTAAATCAATTATGAAATCATTTAATATTGTATTCCTTTTATTTTTAAGTTAAAAAATATTTTCCAATTGAAAACTATGTATTAATTCTAAGCTCACTGTGAATGATTTTGAAGTGTATTTAAAATCAATTTTCAAGATATATTCCATGAAATAAGAATGCATTATTTATTTGGGTTCACAGCCTTAGAAAAGGGCTAAAAAGCTTGAGTTAGTAGCAAAAGGATCAAAGAGAAGAAAAACTCCTTAGAATTTTCCTTTCCTAGACACCATTATATCATACACAGAGAACAAAACTCACTTGTGTTACAGGGAATCTTTCTTCCTTCAACAAGAAAATAAAGACTCAGGTTAGAAATGGAATTACCTCGCAAGAGGTTAGGTTTTACAGTAATCTTTCTCTTTGGGTGTTAACAATCATTAGAATGAATTATCCCTTTCAGATAATCACTCCCTTCAGAAGGCTAATGCTGTGTGCTGAGAACAGAAAAGAGATGGAGGACTGGATCAGCTCACTGAAGTCTGTACAGACCAGAGAACCTTACGAGGTAAAACAGCATCTGTCCTGTCCTCTTGTGTTCTTACTGAATAAATGTTAACCAGAGAGCTAAGGCTCTACTGTGCAGAAGTATGTGTGGACTCATCTAGCAACTTGTTTAAATTATCTTCTGAGACTTTGAACTTAAAGTGCTTTGGTTTTTAAAAAATGTTGAATTTGAAAATTTGATCATAACAGTGAATGTTAACAAATAGTTCAGCGCCTATAGTCTTGTCCTTTTTCTGTTCGGCACATCTGTCCTAACCTCTCCTTTTTAGGTGGCCCAGTTTAATGTGGAACATTTCTCAGGGATGCATAACTGGTACGCCTGCTCCCATGCCCGGCCCACCTTCTGCAACGTGTGCAGAGAGAGTCTCTCTGGAGTCACCTCCCATGGTCTGTCCTGTGAAGGTACTGTAGCCCCCAACCCGCGTTCCCTCTGAACTGTCACCAACCAAACTGCAGACACGCCACCGCTGGTTTTATTGTAGCTTAAAGTTGAGCTCTCCACACATGGGACTAGCTTGGGAAATATTGTTGCTCAGGAAAAGATAACAGAATCATTTGAAAGGAAGCATAAATCAAAATATAGCATTTCACACCTAAGGAACTAGAAACTACTATCTAAAAAAGAATCTTTGGATCTTGTCTATCATTCTAGTATTCTTTATGCTGATTGATTATGGAGAGCAAAACTTTTTGTGAGGATAGTGTATACTCTTTGGCAGAATTTCTGATTGTATTGTTTTAAACATTGTTTTCTTTTATTTCACTTATGTTTAATTGGAATGGATGTCATCCTTTTTAATTTCTTTACAGTTTTTTTAAAAGAAGGCCTATGCCTTCTTTTAAAATGTTGTTTTCATTATAGGATTTGGGAGGTTTTTTTTTTAAGAGTAGTGACCACCAAAAGCAAATACGTTAATAATTATGAAAAGAAAACTTATAGCTTCGTTAGATTTATTTAATTTCATACCTCAGTGATCACACCACTGTATACTACTTTTGGACTATATATAATGCTAATACCAGCTTTTTTCTCCAATACAAAAATTTCTTAAGTAATTTTGAATATAACTTAATTTTAATTAAGTAATAAAGTAGTAATAGAGTTATAGCATTAATTGATTTTAAATTATAAAATCTGTGATATATCATTGTTTCAACTCTTTAATGTGATACTGCATAGTGGCTAAAATTGAGCTCCACAACTAAACCCTTTTTCTCTTACACTATTATAAAATGTAACCAGGAGAATAGTTTAAATCATTTAGACTTTGCTTTCCTCATCAGCAAGACAGGAATAATAATAATTTCTACCTCATAGAATCACTGTAAAAATTAAATGAGATAATACATACAATAAAACTACTTTTCTAGTCAAATAAATTGTAGAAGTCTGTAACTGTATTCTTTAAGAAGTTTATCAAGTAAATGATTCCAGATTGCATCATGGAACTGATGCATTAAAATTCGCAAAAATGGAGAAGGCTTTAAACTTTTTTTTTTAGAGTTAAAGAATGATTGCAAAAAGAAATCTAATTGTCCTTTATGACTTTAGTAATCTAAACGGGTTCATGTAGAGCTGGATAACTGCTACCAGGTCTGTTAATATTATGTGGTATATTACCTCCTAGTTTCTTGTCCCCAAAATGCTAAAAGACATACCAGATCTGAGATACTCTATGGTACTCTTCTGATTTGAGAGTTATGCATTATTAAATATATTTAATTATTTAGGAATTCAGTCAATAGTGGAATGACTGAATATTTTTCTAAGCATTTTAAAAGAAAAATGAAAATTACATTAGTGGTGATAATAAGAAACTTAAAAGTCTTTAATTTATTATATTTTTCTGAAAATAATGTAGTTTTCATGACTTTTTAAAGTCTCAGTTATTGGATTAAAAATTTTTTTAGAAAATTGTGTATTAGTATTCATTTTCTCTGCCAGTAAAATTTTAAATCTGTATTATCTTGCCCATTAGTATTTTCAGACCTTTAGCAGAAGATTTTTTAAAGGTTTTATAAATATTTTAAAAATTACCTTTTATTTTATGAGAATATGGTTACCCTGATATTTTTATCATAGTCAAAGTTAAATTTCACACCCCCCACCCAAATTTGAATAAGCTACTTGCTTGATAAACCAAAAAATATATATATATATATATATATTGGATGTAGGAAGCTTTAAAAGTTATAATGGAGATGCAAATATAATAAGAATTTGTTTAACAGTGAAGATGAATAACTTTGTATTAGAATAGAATTAGACTTCCAGTGTGTGAAGCCATCAATAAATTTAGTCTTTCTGCCCTTGTTTTTCACAATAAAATAAAGCTGTACTAGTTTGTTTTCTAGGTTTCTGTTGAATAATAACTAAAAGTGATTTAAATATTATATGAATGAAAAATAGTAGGCAGATAATATTTTCATAAATAATGCCCTAAGTCAATTGAGAATCTTAGTTATAATTTCAGAGCATATTTGTCCTTCACAGTTATTTAAACAGTAATTTAACGAAATGTTAAAGGTAATTTTTTTTAGTTAACAGCATCATGTGTCAACATTGGTACTTATGAATTTTTATCTTAACTGATGTTTCACATAAAGATTCAGTAAAGACTGGATATTTTAATAAAAATCATAATTTTGTTACATGTCAGTATATGTTTTAAGTTCTGTGGTTTTAAATAATGCTTAAATAGGTCAGGGAAGTGCTTTATTTCAGAATAAGTTGTCTGGAGAAATTTAATTGTCACCTAACAAAATTAAGGTGGCTTTTGATCATTTCCATTCCTTAGTGACCATAATTATAGTTTGGTTTGTTTTATTATTATCATTTTATGTTATATTAAGCGACTTTGTTATTCTTGAGGCTCATTGCATGAAGCACTTTATTATTACAGAAGTTAAAGTTATTATTAACTTTAATAATAAATTAATAATAACTTATATTAAATTATTTTTAATTTTTAGTTTTTGATTTTAATGGCAAAATTTTCAAAAACCATGAAATTATCTTAATATCATTACCCTCTTGTATGTCCTTCTTTCCTCTTAGAAACCAAATATCAACTATTAATATCAAGTCCTTATTTGTACTTATAAATCACTCTATGGACTCTGTTGCAGGTAGTTTTAGGATTCCACTTTTGAAAAATGCCATAATAAATGAAAAGTCCTAGAGATGCTAACTGACCACAGTTTGAAATAATCACTAGTATTGGAGCAAAAGAGAGCAGGTCATGATAAACATTTTATTCAAGCTAAGCTTACTTCCTGTAGTGCTGTGTCTTCACACTTACTGTTTGTTCAAAGTACACAAAAGAGGAGGCAAGTGAAACATTTCCATGTGTACAAACTAATATTTTTCAAGGATAAGCCAGCTCAGTTTAAGTGGCCATTGATATATAGGCGAGTCATGACAGCTGGGCATTGTGAAATTTGGCTATAGACATCTTAGTTATTTTATCTGAACCTTCCATTTTCATGTTACATCGAATTAGGACAGATTAAAGAAGATGGTGTATAAGAAATCATTCAAAATTTTTAATGATTGACTATCAGAAATTCAAAAAAATCATGAGAATGAGTCACTTTACATTTAAATGGAGCAATAATTACCTTATTGTTTCCATGGAAATGACCTTTACTTTAAACTATTTACCTGAAAAGTCAGGAACAGATGTATTAACAACATCAGTATCCACTAATACTTGAATAACTGATATCCTTAGAGGGATACATGTGTTTAGTAGTAGATAATTCTGATTTCATAAGCATGGGTAATTTTTCAAATAACCTGTAGTTTACTTGTTTTTCCATTTATGGGTGGCTTCTTACTTAGCTATTTCCTCTTATTTCTCTTTTATAAGCTCCTTTATGATAACGTGGCGGGAGAATTAGTGAAGCCTGTAGTGGGAACATCGCTTCGTCATTCATTCTTCTGCATTTGTCATTTGGTCATCGCAACATAATACTTTTAAAAGATAGTGCCGTGTTTGTGACCCTCATCGACTAATTTTCTGTGATACTTGGATATTTTCTTGTACTTGCACTTTAAAACTCCTGAATTATCTTTACCTTATTGCATTTTCAAGATGCTTCTTATCAGCATGTTATACATAGAGGAAAATACAAATAGCATGCAGCTCAATGAATTTTCACAAATTAGACACATTCATGTAATCAGCACCCAGACTTAGAAGTAGAATGTTACCAGCAGTCCTGTTACCAGATGTTATTTGCTTCTCTGTGTGTGTGTTGTCTCTTTTCTCTTGAAGCACTAATTCTTTTGTATTTATTTCCTTTCTGTACTTCTCAGCAATCTATCTACAGCTTGATAAAGGTGCTTCATAAACGCAGAGCCATATTTGTTTTTTAGAATACCATTACTATTGTTGGAGAGTAATTTAAATTTTTAAAAAATAGTTGTTTTCCTTCTGTCTCCTCTTACCCTTTTATTATCATGCTGTGTTTTCCTTTCAATTGATCCAAAAGTACTTCTTCACTTAAAAATGGATGCTTTTTTTTTTTTAGTATGTAAATTCAAGGCTCACAAAAGATGTGCAGTGAGGGCAACGAATAACTGCAAATGGACCACCCTGGCCTCCATTGGGAAGGACATCATAGAAGACGAAGATGGGGAGCAGCTGCCCTGCCTCTGATCTCTCTTAGCACCTCATCTCTTATCCTGTGCTCTTGTGGAAACTAATGATAGAGAGATAAGTGAGAATGTTTGTTGTTAGGATTACATGGAAGTTTATTTGATTATGCTTTTATTTTTAATTCAATCCTTCATAGCTTTCTTCAGCTCTTAGGTTTTGGGGAAATCTGTTGTGAATAGGGCGTAGGAGTGGCTGTTGTGCTAGGCTAGTGTTGTAGACCTTTATCTGACACACTCCGAGATATTCTTAAAGGCATAGCTCAGATGATCACGCTCCAGATTTGGGGGCCTCCTCTCCACAGTACCCCCCCTTCAAAACCTTGCCGCCATTGCACCCTGCATAGGAGTCTCTGATAGCACTAGTGATCACGTGATCACAATCCCTTTGCATGCCTTTCTCTCAGCTAGATTGCTGCCTGAATCTCAGAGGGTAGGGCTTTCATCCTTTCATTTGTGTCCCTACAGGGTTTAGGCTTGATAGATGCTCAGTAAATATGGGGTGAATGAGTGAAGGCCATGCATTATATGTATTAGCGACTCCTATGGTAAGAAGTCACTCAGCACCTTCCCTGGGTGAGCGTGTGTCTGCCACGTCTTCACTCTGGCTGCCCTTTGTTCCTGCTCCACAGGTCGCTATGCCTCACCAGTGGCTCGAGGGCAACTTGCCTGTGAGCGCCAAATGTGCTGTCTGCGACAAAACGTGCGGCAGTGTTCTCCGTCTACAAGATTGGAAATGCCTTTGGTGTAAAACGATGGTGAGGGCTTTGGAATCATTTCGTCGTTCTTAATTGTTAGCTTCTTTCCCTAACTTTGTTGTCTGTGTGGTTTGCAGGTAAAGCAAAGAATTTATGGCAGAGCAGAGTCTAGTAATGCACACCCCCTATTGTGACATCCTTCTTTTCTTAAAGTGTATGTCTTCCAATTCTGTAATGTTTTCAGATGCCCTTTTTGTAATACTTACTCTTGTCCGTATATTTTCTATGTCTCAGGATCTCTCTCCTACAGGTTTTTTTTTTTTTTTGAGACAGAGTCTCACTTTGTTACCCAGGCTAGAGTGAGTGCCATGGCGCCAGCTTAGCTCACAGCAACCTCAAACTCCTGGGCTCAAGCAATCCTCCTGCCTCAGCCTCCCGAGTAGCTGGGACTACAGGCATGCGCCACCATGCCCGGCTAATTTTTTCTATATATATTAGTTAGCAAATTAATTTCTTTCTATTTAGAGTAGAGACAGGGTCTCACTCTTGCTCAGGCTGGTTTTGAACTCCTGATCTCGAGCAATCCGCCCGCCTCGGCCTCCCAGAGTGTCTCCTACAGTTTTGCTGATTTTCATTGTTTTTAATCCACACAGAGGTTTGCTATTTTCAGGCCTGTTCTACCACCCGTTGCACCCAGAAAGCCCTGCCCTGGTGTGCCACCAAATTTTGGTTGACACGCAAAATGTAATTTTGCTACAACCCTGGCAGATGGAACACTGAGTTTTTAGGCCAATGCACTGATGTAATTTCAATTATGTACATTTATGTTAAATAAGTAAATATTTAAAAACTTCTTTGCATGTGCAAGAAACAGGTGAAAAGCACGTACATCGTAATGTTGAGCCAGCAGCAAGGAATGGTCTCATGCCGGACGTGTTGGGGACAGTACCTCTGGACTGCGTGAGGGCAGGCAGAGCAGGAAGGAGGCCACACAGACAGTGGTGTGGGGTTGAGAGCCACAGGGTGAGGAGGCCAGAGCTGTAAGCCCTCATCTCAGCACCGGACGATGCTGTCCTTCGATGACAGTGATCGCCTTGCACGGGGGCTGATCTGTTTAGTGTTGTTTTGAGTCTTGTAATCTTAAAGTTGCTGCCCCAAATTTAGAAGTCAACCCCAAATTTAAAAAGGTGGAAAAAACCACTGCTTGTGGTAAGTATGGTATAGATCAGCAAACATAAGGGATGTGAGTGTGTTGTGTTGATTTCCTAATCAATAAGACTGTCTCTATAGGCCACAAAAGAAAATAAGTCCTACAACTTTTCAGTTAAGCCTGGTAGTTAATCTGTGTTTCTTTTTAATTTTTAAGTCAAATGTGATTCTTTTTGTTTTCATGTTTTTGTTATTCTTCATCAATTGCCTCTTTTATTAGCCATAGGTGTGTTACTTTTTATTTCTCTTGTGCAATTTAATATAGAGACTGTTACAGATGTCTCTCTTTGGAATCTTAGTACCATACTAACCCCTAAAGCCCTCGTACATCATTTTTTGTTTTAAAGGAGTGCTACCCATAAATGAGATTTTAAATCGTCATCCCACCTAAGATTTCTTTTTGAGGGGACAACCACTGACAGCACTTCCTGCTATCTTTATCAGTCTATACATTTGCTTGTCTATTTTTCTACTTCTAGAGCTTCAGCTGTTCATTTCTAACTTATTAGAAAGAAAACATATCATGTATGTGATGAATATATATATATATATGTATATAATCTACTTTTATTTAGTCAGTAGTTTTAAAGTCTCCTAACTTTAACAGTGGATATTAATTAGGTTTTTTCATTCTACTTGCCCCCAATTTTTTAAAATTTCACGAAAAGAATAACAGCAGTATTACAAATGGCAACAGGGGGGACATGTTAGAATGTCTTTTCCCTCTTTTTTCCTAGCAAACTCAAATCTCATCTTTGTTGTGATATCATTCTTGCTTCCCCTATTTAAGTTAGACATGCTGGTTTCTGAGTCACCATCCATCACCCTGTAATACCTCGCTCATTCTTATACTTCCTGTACACTATCATTTATCTGTTTACATAGTACTATTATTTAGCCTTTAAAATACGCACTTCTAACAGCAGGATATCTAGTGCCTAAAACATAGTCATGCAGTAAAAAAAAAAAAACAACAAATAGAAACCAAGCCAAAAAACCCATAGTTCTACATCCCTAATGAGTGAACTCATAATCTTTCCAGCTGTTGTCCAGTCTCTGGGACATAGTTTTACCTTTTCTGTAAAAATAGTGAAAATATAATTTTATCTTTTGCTTTTCTCATTTATCATTATTTTAAATATCTTTGTTTTGTACCACGATTCTCGTGCATTTTTTAATTCCTTTTAAAACTGTCTGTGCATGTTCATTTTTCTAAAATGCATTTGGATTGTTAATTATTGTAACTCATAATAGGAAACTGTCCAAAAACAGGTCACCAGCAGAATAAGGATCACTATTGAATTTCAGTTATTCTCTTAAGAGTTTTGAAAAATACAGGTTTAATTAGTGTGCCAGTTTTCTTAAAGGACTAACAAAATAAAGCCATATTAAATAAATAAGTGTGTGATGAAGTGTCTGCTTGTACTGGTTAAAACATATGAAAGGCTCTCTGGCTAAGCACAGAAAGTATTCTAAATTGCCTGGGTCCTACTCACTAAGTTAGCCCCGCTTTTGCTCTGAAAAGTATCTTGAGTGACCTTGAAATGTTCAGCACATTTACTGAGTACCTAGTATGGCCATTACTTTCCTTGCCTTCACAGAACAACAGTCTAGCTAAGAAAATAGGCATAGGCGTCCTTGTAACTATAATAATAAGAAAATGCCATATAAGAAATGTGAATAGAAAGTTATAGGATTACTGCAGACAGAGCAGGCACATTATAGATTTTATTGGTGTTTATTAAATTCTGTAAGAATTTTATAAGGCAGATGCCACCAATTAATTTTTTTGGACAGTGATATTGATATACTGGTTAGCTTCCCAGCTTTCTCTCTCTTTCCCTTTCTTCTTCCCTTCTTCCCTTTTTCTCTTTTCCCCTCCCTTTCTTTTTTCCTCTTTCTTTTCCCCCCTCTACACTCCCTCTCCTCTCGTTTTCTCTCCTTGCCCTCATCAGGTATTCATTGACCATATATTCTTTCCCCAGACAATCACAAAAATAGACGGCACAAACCAAACTCAAATTCCCATATCTAAAATGTTTAATCTGTTCCATAGAAGCATGAATATTGTGTCATTAAAGCAGTTTATGCATTACTGAACATTTTGTGATGCAGTTGACCCTAGATTATCAAATTTGTTTTTATGATTCTTGAAGGTTTATTTGTTTGTTATTAGGTACACACTGCCTGCAAAGATTTATACCATCCTATATGTCCACTTGGCCAATGTAAAGTATCTATCATACCTCCAATTGCACTAAATAGCACCGATTCCGATGGTATGTAGCAGTAGTGTAAGTATGTATATTTCTGGTATATTTAATGTTGATATGTACAGTTATTTTCCTAGAATAAATATAACTGTAATTGGTTGCTCTGGTCAGTTTTTATAAAATAATTCCATTTAAATTGCTGAACAGTACATTTAAAAGAATTTTGAAAGAATATATTTTAATGAAAGTTATAACATAGCTATTAATATGTTGGTGAGATTACTGTGTATAGGTCTTTTAGGTTTAATGTTTCAGTAAATAAAATAAGATCATTATTCTGTATGGAAATGCAATCTGAAAAGGTTAATTTTTATAAGCATTTTTTTCCCTCCATAATTGAAACTTCCCATTAGCATGGCTGTTATTAAAATCTATTTTTCTATAATTTCATCACAGGAATTTATATTCCTATAATGCACTTTTTCCAGAATTTTACAACTTAATTGTAAGTGCTATAGGAACTCCTTTACAACACTGATTTTGGTATAGCGTACTAATAACCTCCTTCTAAGCGAGCCATATTACAAAAGGCTTTTACCGTTTAATATGCCATTTTATGTAAGAGACTTGAGCAACCATAGATTTTGGTATCCATGGGGGTCTTAGAGCCAATTCTCCATGGATACCAAGGGAGGACTGTACTATTTTTAATGTCATGCATTGATATCATTCTTTATGTTTTCCAAACTTTTTGTATAATTTATGCCAACAGATATCTTAGATATAAACCTCAAAAGATGTAATGTTTTTTTAAAACCTGTGCTATTAACAGGTCTTTCTTCCCTGTACTAATAGATCAAGGTTCTTTTGTTTACTATAAATTTAAAAATATTTTCCCAGGCCTCAGCAAGGAGCATTTAAAATATTTTAAAATACTGAATAGGAACATATGAATTCTTTGACGAATGTGAATTTACAGCCTGTGATTAGTTTTTTTTTATAATTAAATCTAGCTGAGGCAATTGGTATATCTCAAATTATCTGTGACTAATAATTTTATTAATATCATCTTTGGTATGATTTTCATTATACAGCATATTTTTAAAAGATTAGTTCTATATTCTTAGTATGCAAATAATTAACCTATCTCCATTTTGGAAGCTAAATTATAACTTAATGTTTCAGTAATAAACAAGGTTCTTTATTTTTATGAATTTGTCTTCTTTTCTTTGAATGTTACTAATTCAAAAGAGAAAGCTGTATGTATTGATTGTGTACTGTGTTGTTTTTTTTTTTTTAACAGGTTTCTGTAGAGCCACGTTTTCATTCTGTGTTAGTCCTCTATTGGTTTTTGTCAATTCTAAGAGCGGAGATAATCAGGGAGTAAAGTTCCTGCGTCGTTTTAAACAGTTGCTAAATCCGGCTCAGGTGTTTGATTTGATGAATGGAGGCCCTCATTTAGGGTAATTGATTATTGATAAATCGCATTTGAATGCAATGTCACAGTATGCATGGAATGTGTCTGGCTTTTCAGCTCATGAAAATTGTAGATTCCTCTAGATTCCCTCCCTTTTTAAAGCTCTAATGATAAGTTTTAACACAGACTTTTTGATGGTTCTACAACTGCCTTATATAAATTCCAAAATTGATATTGAAATTGACAAATTCCAAAATTTGTTTAGAAAATGTTTTAGAATATATCCTGTATCAAACAATACTGTTTGTTCAGCTGCAAGAAAGATCAACTTGCCTAACTATAGAATACACAAATAGTATTAGAAAATGATTTGCCTGGAAGGCCAATATTGATTTATATGTAATATAAATAATCAATTATTTCACCAAAGTACAGGTACTATCATGAATCTCAAGGACAGTTCATCAGACTCAGTTCATACAAAATAACAAAGAAATACTTTTGTTGACTGTTCTTTTTAACTTTCTGAAATGTCATTACTTAAAATCTGAAAAAAAAAATGAACTAAATATTTTCATTGAGGGAAATATACCTTGAGGAACTTTTAATATATTTTATTGTATGTATATGATTTTTCTTAAGAGGTACTATTATGTCTTTAGTCTCTATATGATTTACTTAGGCCAAGTCAGCCTTTCTCTTGGGTTCCACTATTACCTTAAAGCATGAACACAGAAGTAGAAATGAGAATTTTAGATACCAGTGCCTCACTAGGCCTTTCATGTTTTGTATGATATTTTCCTTTGTCTTCTCTTTTTGCCTGTTTTCACTTTCGTCCCTTTGGGATCTGCCTTCCTGTTTCTAGTGCCTTTTCCTTGCCAAGTGTCGGGCTTTTCTGGCCACATGGGTGGTGGGTCTTCTCCTTGACATCTACCTTCTTCCTTTTCTCTGTGCACATCTTTCCTGTCCTCTGCTGGGGGCCTAGTGTTTCCTCCTCTAGCCTCTCTTCTCCCCTTCTTTGTCTCTGCCATTCTGGGTGGTTTTGTTTCCGTTCTGAACATATCTGCTTTTTATAATCCTTTCAAGTTCCACAATTGTAAAGTCTTGATATTTATTTTTCCCATTCATCCGCTAAGACTCCTAGGATCTCGCTGTGAAACTTCTTGAGATTGATCCTCTAATACATTTTTCAGATTTTCCACAATACTTGGGGTATACAAAGGTACTGGTAGGAGATGGGATGTGTCAAAAGTTGAGATGAAGGAAGATAGAAACAAAGGATTGGCCTGAGAATAGGAGAAGAGGAGGAGGAAAAGGGAGTTGGGGGTTCTAAGAGTGGCATTTAATACGTTGGTCTCTTTAGGAACTGCCCAAGTGCCACTCAGTGTACCAGCACCTTGGATTCCCCAGCCATGGTTTGTAATTCTTAAGGGAATAGCTTATCCTTGTTAATATAAAGAGAAAAAACACTGCTTTCACCATCTCGTATGACTTTACCTTTCCCAGTCTCTGCTGCTTTTTTGTTTTCTTATTTCTCGCTCCTCTTTTTTCCTAATTTTTATCTTCTTTTCTATTTATAATTCCCTCCACTGCTTATCATTCAGAAGTTTTCTTGAGTTAAAATTGCACCTAATTTTTACAGTATAATTAATGTGTAGGAGGAGTTCTTGTATCTAATCTGAACATGAACACCAATAAATACAGAATAGCAAAGAATCAAGGAAAATGATTTTTATTTCTTTATACTAAAATGAAATGCTTTTTTACTTTCAGCTTAAGATTATTTCAGAAGTTTGACAATTTCCGGATTCTTGTGTGTGGAGGAGATGGAAGTGTAGGTTGGGTTTTGTCAGAAATCGATAAGCTCAACTTGAACAAACAGGCAAGTGCTGATTCTTTTTATGGCTGGTCAACATGAATGAGTGCTAACATATTTGCCAGGGGGGTGCAGCAATGCAATAGCCCCTATTTCTCAACTTGTCTGAACGTCTCCCTGTTGTGCCATCTTTTAGTGTCAGCTAGGAGTACTGCCTTTGGGTACAGGAAATGACCTTGCTCGAGTTCTTGGCTGGGGAGGCTCATATGATGACGACACCCAACTTCCTCAGATACTCGAGAAGCTGGAACGGGCCAGCACTAAAATGCTGGACAGGTAAGAGTGCATTCTTTGCTAAATAGTAGGTTGAAAGTGGCACACTGAAATCATTTTTTTAGAAATTTAAATATTATTGACTAGAAGTCCCACGAAGGCAGAGATTTCCTGGTCTTGTCCACCGTTTCATTCCTGAAATGGATGAAGAACAGGCCCTGGCACAGAGAAGATGCTCCATCAGTGTGTTTTTTGAGTGAATGGTTGAATCGTGAAAAAAAAAAAAAAACCTAGTCCAATGAACCCATTATTTTAATGACAGAAGAATATGTTGATACTATTTACTTTTATTTACTGTTTAGATCAGAAAGCTCAAATAATTAATTTTGGGGGGTGCTTTTGATATGCATAATAGGTAGGCTCCCATTACTTTGCAGTTTCAGAAAAGCTAAAAAAGTCTTTAGATTTGGGAATATACCTTGGTATCGTACCGAAATCTGTGTCTCTCGGTAAGAAAAAAAAAAAAACAAAAACAGAATGCCTTTAGATATATTGGACTATCTTTTTAAAATCATGCATATTAAGAATAAGCCAGGTGCAGCAGCTGACACCTGTAATCCCAGTACTTTGGGAGACCAAGGAGGAGGGATCACTTGAGCCCAGGAGTTCAAGACCAGTCTCAGCAACATAGAGAGACCCTTTCTCTACAAAAAATAAAAAAATTATTTTTATTACCAGAGGTGGTGGTGTGCACCACCTGTAGCCCCAGCTATTCAGGAGGCTGAGCCAGGACAATCCTTTAAGCCCAGGAGTTCGAGGTTGCATTGAGCTATATGATTGTACCACTGAACTCCAGCCCAGGCCACAGTGAGACCCTGTTTCAAAAAAAAAGAATGAATTGATACAACAAAGAACTAAATATTAATAAAAAAAATCCTTTCCTAGGGACAGGGAAGTATTAGAAAGATAGCTTCAAATGAAAGAACTGCCACTGGGTTTATGCTATTCCTGATCACATCTCTTAACTGCTTTCTCTCTGAATGTCCATGTATAAAGAAGAAATCACAATGTGAGTACCCTGAGCATTATGGAGGAGGTGTTTAGAATTTGGGAAGAGGGAACAACAGGACTCAGTTAGCTGTAACTCTCCACCGTCTGCTGTAAGCAGAAGACAAATGTCAAAATATCATTATAAACTTGAGCTTACATGCATCAAAACAACTTTGATAGAATTAGCCATCTGTGGAACTCTTCCCGAAAATAACAAAATCTCATCAGGGAGCCACCAATCTAAAATGTAATTACGATGAGGAGCTATAACCTAATTAATTGTAACCTTGCCTGTCATAGGTAACGTTGCAATGGTTGATTCTTTTGTGGACAGAGTATCTTAAAAGAGAGCTGGGCAGCAGAGGGTTTGTGACTATCTAAAATGCCTGTGTGAGAGGGACACTCCAGTAGTTATAAACCTTTGCATAAAGGTTTATAATCTAATATGGTGCTGGATTTAGTCTTTAAAAGAGCTTGGAGGTTAGAAAAAAAAAAGGTAACTATGTGAAGTGATGGAAATATTAATTAGCATTATGGTGGTGATTATTTCACGATGTATATGCATATCATAACATCAAGTTTGTATACCTTAAATATATACAATTTTTATTTGTCAACTGTACCTTACTAAAGCTGGGGGGAAAAACTGGAAATAAATAAGTAAAATCACAATTCTGTGTAAAAGAGCCTGGAGGTGACTTCCCAGACAACTGTCAAATTCTGTGTTTACCAAACACAAAGTATTTTAAATGCTCTCTTTATTGCACATTTAAAGATCACTCTCAGTTCATCCTAGGAAAAGCTGTTAGGCATTTCCTCCACTCTGGGTGTATACTTTTCCCTGATGTGTTACAGAAAATCACTTCTCCAGTGTTTAGCCAAGAAACAGTAACCCTTGATGAAATTCCTTGATACCTACAGGCTTGCAAAAAACACAAGAAAAAAAAATTCGAAGGGGATTCAAAAACCTAGAACCATTATTAAAAACATACATGTATTTTGTTCTTGTGTTTTCCTTATTAATTTGCTGTTTGTAAAGAGCAGGTGAAAAAAATCATTGTTTAACATTCCAAATTATATAAAACATTCCAAATATTTTCCTATATTAATTTATTTGATTCTCAAAACAACACTGTGGGGTGGCTCAGAAAAGCATTGTTATGACTATTTTATAAAGATGAGAATTGAAGTTTGTAGAGACAATGGGAGTAACAGCAACTAATAATTTTTGTCTGCCTGGCACATCTAGTAGTTGCTTTGCTTTATATATTGTCTCATTTAATCATTGTTGTACTCTTAGAGATAGCTAATATTGTCTTCTCCATTTTTCCAGTAAAAAAAATCCTTATTTTTTACATTATCTAAGTTATATAGCTAGTAAGTGATTGAATTGGCACCACAAATCAGAATCTCAAGGTCTTTTCTCAACATTTCACTCTCTCCCCTTTAATGCATGTTAAGTGCCAGGGGTCCTTTGCTTCTGGCCTTTAACTCTGCTTAGCTGGTGCCAATATTCGTCTCTTCCTCACTCTTTCCTCTGTTGCTGCCACTTTCTCCTGTTTCATCAGCTCCAACCATTTCCTTTTGAGGAGGAAGGTGCAAGGAGCTTAGACGTTTGACATTCCCATTTCTTCAACTGTCTTTTGACCTGAGAAGTATCTCCACCTATAAGGAACTTGACTTTTATGTCTGCAATTACAGTTTTCCCTGTTTGGATATTTATAAAGTTTAATTGTTTTGTTTACTTGTGTTATACCTGTTTTCTACACTAGACTAGAAGCTTCATTAGGGAAGCCTTATTCAACCCTGTCTGTCACTTTGGGATGCCCATTACAGTGTATCTGTTGCATGGATGAGTGAATGAATGAATGGGTGGATGAATGGCTTTTGGTGCTCAAATATATATTTCTTTATAGTATTTTTATGTCAAGAGTTGAATAGTAGTGCTATTCAGTCTACATATCCTAACATATATGTTTATTGGGGAATTTTTTGGGAATGTTGACTTTTATGCAAAGATTTATTCTCATTAGTCTTAATGATACACTAGGCTCTGTTTAAATATTGATCTTGGGATTTTCCTGTAGGTTCTGTTACTGGTTTCAGCTGTGTTACGCTTTTCTTAAAATTCATGTGTTACAGTATTGCTTTTATTATGCCTCATTTCTGTATAAAAACTTTATTTCACAGCTTTTTATAATATTAGTCTGTGATAATGTTCTTGCCCACTTTTTCTTCCCAAATCTGGAAATTATTATTTTAGATAGGAGACTGGGCTTATTCTGAGTTGATTGCTTTCCTCACCAAGTGATTCAATATTTGCTTTGAAATTAATACTTATAGCTAATTGAAATAAATTTGCTTCAATTAGATATTATTAATATTTCCCCATTAATCCCATCCTTATATTCATTTGTTCTGAATTTAAGAAGGAACATTTCACTAATTTTCTTTTCATAGGTAGTATGCATTTATTTAATCTAGGACATTGTTTTAGAACTTTGGATTGTGACTCATTGGTATTATAATTTGTAATCTAATAAGTAAATAATGAGCATTATTTGAAGAGTAGAATAGAAATGTCAGAATACATTGCACCTAATGGAGAAGGGACACTGTTATTACATATGTACATTTTTTACTGTGGGCCATGGCCTTAAAACATTTGGAAGCCACTAATAAGAAAAATGGTAAGATGTGGAAATCATAAATTACAAACTCAACCTTTTATGAAATGACCAAAATTCCATCTCCTTCCCCATTTTTGGCTGTTTTCAGATATAATAAACCATAGTTCATGAATATAAGTGTGTATATATATATATATATATATATATATATGAGATGGGAATAGTTTATTAAATTTTAAAGCAATTTTAGAGCAAACATTTTTCTCCCTTCAGGTGGAGTATAATGACGTACGAACTCAAATTGCCACCAAAGGCTTCTCTACTTCCGGGACCTCCAGAAGCATCTGAAGAACTTTATGTAAGACTTAACCCTTTTTCTATTTGTCATTTGGAATGGGAGTAGCTATCTTGAAAAACAAATGAGAAAACTTGTAATAAATGGTAGCATATTTATTTAATTTAATTTTTATTTTTTGGAGTGTGGACCCATTAGCTACTTACAGTCCTTTCTTTTGGAGTGAAGAATCCTGAAGGTCTAGGTTAGAGTCCTCCCGTGACCACCCACACTGGGAACATGAACTTAGCCCAGGCACTGGCCCTCCTGAGCCTCTGTTAACTTCATCTGTAAAATGAGACTACAAAATTGTGAGGATCAAATGACATAACAAATGTGTGTGAAGCACGGGGCATGCAGTTCTCCCTGAATATTCTACCTGCCTGTTTCCTTTTTATCAGCAGGGCTCCAGGTAGGCCAGCTGGTAACAGTTCCCTGCTAGCTTGTACTCAGCTTCTGCGTTGGCCAGGAGCACCTATGTGATTGTTAGGTATTGGCCCAGCTCCCTTGAACAATGTCCAAGCACACCAATACTCTGGCCAGAATATTATACATCTTCCCTCTTACTGCGTTGCCTGCTCTTTGGAGGGGGCAGTAGGACAGGTCTCCGGGTTAAGCCTGTTGACCCACATAAAACAAAGGAAGAAAGAGCGTACTTCGTTCCAACCTTGCCACAAGCCAGAGGACTAAAGTTTTTAGACGTTTTTTAAAGATTCAGCATTCTGATTACACCTCAAAGCAGCGGAGATTTAAAACAGAACCTGACTTTCAAAGGATTATTCTCTGACTCATTAAGACCATTTGATCTGTGAAAGCTTATTTTTCCCTTTAGGAAAATGTGTCTATTTTACAGTCGAAATCTTTGTTTTGTCATTAAGAAAATTATGATCTTATCAAAACTAAGGCAAGGGATGATAACCAGAAATACGTTTTTTAGAGAAGATAATTGCATTTTTAAAACTTTTTCCGATATAAAGGTAGCAAAAATTGCTTCTAAAAAATTTTGAAAATCCAAAATTATATGAAAAAAAGTCACGTGTAGTAATATCACCCAGAGACCCAGAGATAATCTTTTTTTTTTTTGAGACAGAATCTCGCTTTGTTGCCCTGGCTAGAGTGAGTGCTGTGGTGTCAGCCTAGCTCATAGCAACCTCAAACTCCTGGGCTCAAGCGATCCTTCTGCCTCAGCCTCCCGAGTAGCTGGGAGAACAGGCATGCGCCACCACGCCCAGCTAATTTTTTCTCTATATATTAGTTGGCCAATTCATTTCTTTCTATTTATAGTAGAGATGGGGTCTCGCTGTTGCTCAGGCTGGTTTCGAACTCCTGACCTCGAGCAGTCTGCCCACCTCGGCCTCCCAGAGTGCTAGGATTACAGGCGTGAGCCACCGCACCTGGCCCAGAGATAATCTCTATTAAAGATTAATATATTTGCTACTTTATTCCAAGCAACATTTTTAGTTGTAATATTATTCTGACTATAAACATAATATGTTTTTATAGAACCAGTCTTTTTTCTTAATTGTATGTTTGTAAATGTCATTAATTTTCTTTCCAAAAAGACAAAAAGGGGAATTCTTTTGTTCTATATACTTCAAAAATATCTCTTTCCTAGCATATTAAATAAAGGTAGATAATTTACTCTTATCACGTATATATAGTCACTAAATATCAGGTACAATTGTACGGATGTGAAGGGAATCTAATTGTTTTAATGCAAAAGGATTTTGAATGAAACTTTATTATTTTAAACTTATTTTTATAGTAAATGGATAGCATACTTTAAGATTACAGATTAAATGATGTTCTCAATGGCCCTGACTAAGGCCTGAATACCTTCTGGTTGACACCAGGAATGCACTTTACTGTATGTGACTTTTTCACCTTGAAAACTGCAATAAAAGTAAGCTAAAGTTTCCTTCTTAGCTTGAGTGTATGTAGCTGCGGATCTTAGGCAAATAACTCAGCTAAGCTTCAGGTTCCTTGACTGTAAAACAGGACAATTAAAGGGGTATGTATATACAAAGCGCTTAATCGTAGTATCTGGTATACAATGCAGAATGTTAACTCATTATTACTGACCTTCCTGACCCTGCTAAGTGACTACATAGTAGGTTAATAAGTGATATCAATAATTTTATCCTTTCCACATAGAGGTTATTTCATTTTCTTCTGAAAGAGGTTGTATTTTTGTCCTTGAATATTTTTACTGGACAAAAACTTGGGTTTTCAAGTGTAAGTTTCACATGGCATTAATCAAATGACATCAATTAATTAACTGACTTTAATTAATTCATTAATTAATGGCATTTATTGATCATTTAAAATATTTTCTATGTTATAGAGAAGAGAAATATCTGAAAAACATTTTTCTTTTTTGCATTTTTAGATGTATTTTCATTTTTGTGAGTTTAACTTATAAAGATGCAGTTTTTAGTGTTTAAACAAAGAGATCAATAGAGTGGATTTGCGGGTCAGTACAATGTTGTGTATAACTTTGGAGTTCCTGCCTCCCCTCCATTCTTTGATGTAAAATTGCTTTCCCATATTGTGGTCTGCCTTTGAAGGATGGAAATTTAAAAGAGTAACATACTGACATAACTACCCACTGGTGGAACTGAATGTAAATTAGCAATGAGATTCCTATGGGAAGAGGCTACTCAGGAAGGCTTTATGTAGGGAGGGATGTTAATTGAATCTTCAATTAAGTGTGAATAAACTGATGCTAATTGGTAAAAAGCAGTGAAAAGACATCTGAGTCAGGCAGAAGAGCACAGGAGGCAGCTTGCATAGTGCAGACCATTCACAGTAGAAAATTTTGAGCTGTGTGACTTGCAATATCATTTGATGCAAACATTGGATGTAAGGCTCTAAATATGAGGCTGTTTAAATGTTGCGTACATTTTTACATATTGGGAAGATGTGTTCTTTCAACAGGATGTTAAGATTTTAGTCAAATAGAAAGGAGGTATGGACACTTTTTGGCATTTTGATTATTTCATTGTTTAAGAGAAATATTTATTTACACGATTGTATGACAGTGCATTAAGCATTTAAAAAAACTTTTTATTGACCTATACCTACAGAAAAGTGCACATATCATAAACATACAGCTTGGTAAATTTTCACAAACTAAACAAATGTATGTAATCCACACCGAGGACAGCATTCAAGTACCCCATGCGTCCCCCTCAGTCACCGTCCACACCTCCCACCCCAATAACCATTATCCTGACGTCTGACAGCATAGATTAGTTTCACCTGTTTTTGTACTTAATAAAATCAAATCAGTTTTTATGCTCTTTTGTTTCATTATCCTTTCACTCAACTTTGTATTTGATTTATCTACATTGTGGCGTAGCTGTAAATCATTCATTGTCATGGTCCTGTCATATTCCATTACACAATTATACTGCAGTTTGTCGTTCCTTCTATTACTGAATGAATGCTGCTGTGAGCATTCTAGTAATACCTTTTGGTGAACACACACATCGGCCTTTCCTTTGGGTATATATGTAGAAGTGAATTTCTGAATCCTATGGCATTAATGCATATGTTCACCTTTAATACAACCTATCAAATAGTTTTCTAGGGTATTTTTATCAATTTGCACTCCCATCAGCAGTGCATGAGAGTTCTGTAGCTCCACAGCCTTGCTAGCACTTGGAACTTTCCATTTGTGGTTTTCCTTCTATCCATTCTGGTATATATATATATATATAGTCAAGTGATACCACCTTGAGGTTTTAGTTTGAGCTTGCCTGATGGCTGATGAGCGTGAATGCTTTTTTATCTGTTTATGGACCATTTGCATTTTCTCATATTTAAATTTCTAGTTTTTTGCCCATTTCTATTAGATTAGCTTTTATTATACTAACTTATGGAAATTCTTTGGATTAATTTATTTAGGCATTTGACCTTGTAAATTATTTTAAAAAGGTTTTTATGAATTTTTCTAAGAATTTAAATGAAAGGATTCCAAAAAACAAAAGTCTTTCAAAGAAAGGAAATATTTAATCAATTTTGCATAGTGATTCTTTTATCTATTTCATGATAGCCATTGCCCTGTCTTGCATGCGACATGAATGGTTCCATTTCTGGAGCAGTAATAACTGAGCTGTATAAATGCCAGCAACAGTAATACAGTGTAGGTTTTTTTCTTTTTTCAGATGGCAATTTATGAAGACTCAGTTGCAACTCATCTTACAAAAATCCTCAATTCTGATGAACATGCAGTGGTCATATCATCTGCCAAGTGAGTTGTAGAGTTTAAGTCATGAAATAATTATCTGGTGAAAATGAAAGGGAAGCTGGTTCCTATCATTTATGCCATTTGTTTGTGATTTTTCTTTTCAAAAAATATCTCTGAAGTAGTTTATAGAATTAGATATACTAAATTTGAATTGATTTTTAAAAAAATCACATTAGCATCTTATTTGCACTGGGGTATATTTATAGGGTATATTTTTTGATGCTTAATTTGAAACATTTTTGTCAAAAAGGTATAATAAATGTCTAGAGATTAATTAACCTAACCGTCTATTTAAGGAAGTATTTCTGATTAATTATAATATGGAAAACACATTTCTTTATAATTCATTATTTCCATAAACACTACTATTTAGGGACTGTTTACATCAGTAAAAGAAAAATAGTGATGAGGTTTTTCAAAATGACATTTCTCAGCATGTTTACATTGCATAATTATATTTTAATTCAGTTATCAGATTTTAGTTAAGTTGATTCTGTACATGGAGCCAAAGCTACTTACTTGATGTTATTATCCCAAATGTTGCCTGGCTGGAATTTGGAATTTAGTTTTGAAGCATGCTATGCTGATGTCAAGAGAACTGGAAAGCAAACCAGAGGAAGGGGGGTAAAACAACTGATAATTTCAATTGATAAGCAAAAGGATGCTTAAAAGATCTGGCTTAGCAAGGAAGTAATATTATTGTGCAGAAAAAGAAGAGAAAAAGAAGGGGAAGAAGGAAAGAGAGTGCGAAAGTGGTGAAGGAAAAATACACAAATTTTAGTGTATTATGTATTTAATTTGTAAAAAGCCTAGAAAAGACAAGATAAATCATTATAAACAAATTTGCTTGTGATGAAAGTACGACTGTGACAATTGCTTTTGATGACACACCCTCCAGGAACAGGAAACCGAACTGAACAGTAGGAAAAAGAGTTGAATGGCTTAGGACATGGGGAAGCACACTGGTTGGCCCAGGCACAGGTGGGCCTCTGTTTGTGGGGCATCCCTGCTGGTTGGTTTATGTTCATTTGTTTGGATGGGGTTTTTTTTTTTTTAATGAATTGTATTGCTCTATGGAGAAATGTACAGATCTCTAGTTTGTCCCAGTCCTCAGCATTCCCCATTGTCTTTCTTATCCCAGGCCCAATTCATATACCTAAGTGAATTTGCCTGTTCCTTGTAGACGTTTGAGTTTGCTACCTTTACCCTGTGAATCAAATGTGTCTTTATAGTTCATTTCAGGGGACATTGCTAGGAAAGAGAGAAAGTCGAAATGCAAGCTTATTTAAGGTATAACAAGTTATAAAAGAATTTTTTTTTTGTTTTAATATAGTTGAGTAAATATTTTATCTGGCCACCTTTTATAGTTTGGGTGTTAGCAAAGTCTTTATATTGACCTTCATGTGTTTGATTAACTGCCTCCTGTACATTTTATATGTTTTTAATTAAATGGAATTCATATTATGAAATTTCGGCAAATGCAAACAGGATGGTTATAGCAGCCACACCTTTCTTTCCCTATCATTCTTTTTTTTTTTTTTTTTTGTCACCTGATCTGACTTGTATAATTTCTTTCTATTTATAGTAGAGACGGGGTCTCGCTCTTGCTCAGGCTGGTTTTGAACTCCTGACCTTGAGCAATCCGCCCGCCTCGGCCTCCCAAGAGCTAGGATTACAGGCGTGAGCCACAGCGCCCGGCCTCCCTATCATTCTTAATCTTAATACCTGTATAGTCCCTGGGTAGTATAACATTTTGAGCAGTGGAAATATTTTTTCAAATAAAATCTTACACAGATTTCTAATATTTTAAAAAATTAAAATTCTGTTTTGTTGGCATTAATAAATTGAATAAGATTGAATTATTAGGCACTGATGAGAAAAATTAAGCAATAAGGTTATAGATATGTAAGAATGTAAGGAATACCTATTATTCCTCCCTCATAGAACTGTTAGGAGAATTAAATTGAGTAATAAAATAAATATAGAGCTCATAAATTATAGGATTAAATTATGATATCATCACCTCCTGTTTTACCCAATTACATTTCAAATTTTTTTGACCTTGATCTGACTCCTTGTCTAAGGCTCTGCACAGCTCTTAGCCCTAGATTTGAGTCTCTCCCCAACAGCTTACTTCCCTATGGGCAGATTCCCTTCCAAACCCTGCTCCCCTCTTGTCACTCATCTGTGTTCCCAGGCCTGCCTGGCTGGCCTGCCTTTACAGCCCCAGATTAAAATTCTAGAAGATTGCCATAAAGAGGTTCAAGAGAGAAAAGAGAAGACAATATGTAATAACTTTATACCAGTAATATATTTTTAATTTTATTTTTAGGGACATTTTCAAACATATAAAAGTAGAGAGGCTGGATAATGATTTCCACCATACCCATCACTCAGCTCCAGTATTTATATATATTTTGCCACCTACGCACCACTTTATTTTGCTACAGTAAGATTTGCTTACAGTATCTCTGAGCAAATCTCAGACATCATTTTATTCCGTTTTTGGTATACAGCCATCCCTGGGTATCCATGGGGGATTGGTTCCAGGACCCCCCACAGATACCAAACTCCACCAATGCTCGTGTCCCTTGTATAAAATGGTGTAGTGTTACTATTTGCATATAACCTACACATATCCTCCTATCTACTTTAAATCATCTCTAGATTACTTATAATACCTCATACAATGTGAGTGCTACGTAAATAGTTGTTAAACTGTATTGTTTAGAGAATAATGATGAAAAAACAGTCTGTACATGTTCAGTACAGACACCAACAATCCATTTTTTGAATATTTCAGCCTGTGGTTGATTGAATCTATGGATGTGAAATCCATGGATATAGAGAGCTGTGTGTGTGTGTGTGTGTGTGTGTGTGTGTGTTTGTGTGTGTACACCATATGTATGTATATATACTGTGTGTGTGTTTACATATATTATTAATATATGTTATATATATAATTTCTTTAAAGGGCCAACGGCATGTATGTGTGTGTGTATATAATCTTTTTTTTTTATAATAGTTCTCATGTGAGGCAGACGTGATAACCACTATACTGCAGAAACCAGACAATAATAGTTCTCTAATGCCATCAATATTACTCAATCCATATCCCATTTTCCCCCCAGTAAACTTGAAGGGTTTTTTTTTTTTAAGCAGTTTATTTGTTCAAATCAAAATCCAAACAAGGTTCACACATTGCACTTGGGTAATATATCTCTTTAGGACTTTTAAAGTCTATAATGTTTCCTATTGCTTTTAAAAAAAATTCCTTATTGAGGCATGACATATATACAGCAAAGTACCCAAATCACAAGGGTACGACTCAGTGAGTGAAAAAATACTAAACACACTTATAACCACTACCTAGATAAAATAAAGAATTGCCTTCTTTTGTGTTAATGTCACTTATTTGTTGAATGATAGAATATTAAGGCAAAATGTTTTACCTCTCTTGTGCATGTTTCTATTTATTTCATAAATAATAGTTCCCTGTAGCCTTAACTGTTTTCAACTATTTTTAAAATGTTGAAATGCTTAAGCTATATTACATTAGCATAATTATTAATAATATGTGGGTTAACTTATATAGTAAATGTAGGTTAACTGAAAACATCATTTCTTTGACTTTGAAATTTTATCAATTCCATATGGTAACAGGAGTTATCGTCTTAGAATCCCAGCTCTAATTATCTATAGTAGGTGCTATTTATTAATAAAAATGAAAGACAGAATTATTAAATAAGTTGTCTTTGACTGCAATACATGTCTCTCTTATTTAGTCAGTAGTTTTTAAACTTTTCTAGCTTTAACAGTAGGAGTTAATTAGGTTTTTTTACTCACTCATTCTACTCATGCCCAACTTTTAAAATAAATGCAATTTGTTCTTTATACAAACTTTCAGAAAATGGGATAACTGGCAAGAAGATTGGAGCCATTGTCATAGAGGTGTAGAATTTAGATTTGGATTCTACTTTAGAGATAAGGTAGGCAACCCCCTCATTTAATAAGTGAGGTGAGGTTGTTGTTAAAAATCTTTCCTCAGAGCACATACAGAGCTAGGGATTTAAAAAAAATTATGCATTGATACTTATAGATCATCTTTAATTTCTAATTGGAACTTTTCATATCAGATGTAAAATGAGTTTTTCAGGTTCTCATAGGATAACCCTGTCTGCCAATTCTGTTGGGCCGCATAGCCATATTTATCTTAGTGTGGTGTTTACATATTTTATTGTCATTTGCCCATATTTAGAAAACAATAAATGGAAAGCTGATGAATGAAGGTACTGATACTAGTGATAAAGAAGTATAGGTCTCACAATATAATATAGTTGAGATGATGGTAGAAATCATTAACTATATTAAATGTGGACTGCTGTGAGTCCCAGCTGAATATTTGGTGTGCACAACTGACTGTGTTCAACTTTTAAGAAAGAGAACAAAATTAAAGCAATAAAATATTGGAAATATCTCAGCAAAAGTTCTAACAGATTAAAGATGTAATTGGGGATTTAAAAATTTTTTAGCTCTCCAGGAAAATCCATGTTCCATTTTCATTTATTGGATTTTTGCACATGTTTTCTGGAAGTCTTTATGTATAAAGTAGGAAACTCTGTGTATAGTTAGAGAATTTCTTTTGTGTTACTATAGTAAATATATCTTTAAAAAAATTTTTTTTATTTCAGCATATTATGGGGGTACAATGTTAAGGTTACATATATTGCCCTTGCCCCCCCCTACCCCCTTGAGTCCAAGCTTCAAGCGTGACCATCCCCTAAACGTTGCACATCTCACTCATTTGTTTTTTTCTCCAATTGGCAAGTTCCGAGTTGGCATGACTTTGATATCATACTATTTTTAAGTGTATAGTTTATTTCTATTTTGAAACCTTTACATTCACTATTTATTTAGGTGTAATAGGAGGTTAGTTCATTCTTCCAGAATATAAATATCCTATATTCCTTCTGGAATATGGAACTAATGGACCATCAGATGAAGCATTTCTCTGGATTCTTCCCACACGTATGTGGCAAGCACTCTCCTGGCTTTCTATTCCCACTCTGCAGCTCTCTTGGCCACGGGTTCCGCAAGGATCCTACTGTCGCCTTCAGCCTCTGTCTGCCCTAGCAACGTGGCACAGCCGAGGAAAGGCAACCTCTCTGCCCCTTTCATTCCTAAGCTGATGGACTGAAGGGCTCAGTTCCTAGGAGTTAATAAACTACTCCTACTCCTAATAATATTATGCCATATGCCGTTTTACAAACCCAAGAGAAAATTATATCAAGATGCTGTTATTATAACGACAAGAAAAGCCTCTATTTTGGAGTTATGCCAAGAGTTAAGAATGCCAGTATCTCCTCTCCCTCAAAGTAGCACATCTTAGAGAAACTTTCAGTAAAATCCAGAGAAGAGATTTCATGATAGCCTGACTTATATTTCAAAAAATCCCATAAAGTGTTTTACATAAACAAAGAAGACGAAACTTGAGGTGAAGTATTTGAATGTATCACTAGTAAATGGTAAGCTAGATTCTCTGGGGAAATTTTGAGTTTTAAAAACCAACTAAGAAGGTTGAGGGTTAGGAAATATTACCTTTTGTCCAAGAGAAATCTGGAAATGGTTGCCAAGAAACAACAAACAAAATAAAAATTGTTAGGAGTAATGCTTATTTCCTAGATGATAAATGAGAAGGTTTGTAGTGCGTGTTTGTGCATGTAAATGTGCGTGTATATATGTATATGTGTCCTATGTCTATTGAATGGCTTAATTTCGTGATACCTAAGTATCTAGAAATTTACCATTATGCCACTCACCTACCGGAGAAAATTGTAAGTAAAATAGAAAAAGTTACTGCTAAACCTATTTTTTAAAAAATTCTTCAATCTATATAAATGATAGGGAGCAATATTATGATTTTAAAATAGTCTGATTCTATCATTGTAAGTCCTTGCTTTAAAAAAAGCTGGTCATATACTATTCTGTTGACTGTTTAATCCAACACCAGATCTAAAGCCTTTTGAAATAAATTTTTTTTTTTTTTTTAGTGTTTCATGTTATTTTTCTTTTGGTTTACTTCTATTGCAAAGAAGCCAAATGTAATTAAAAGAAACAAACAAGTAAACATATATTGCTGACACTAACAAGACTTAAATTAAATTAGTGTCACATGTTATTGCATTGGTTATCTTAAGGAAAAAAAAATGAATGGATGTATGGAGAGTATAACTCAATTCAAGTGGCATGTCAGTTTCCATCCTAATACCCCATCTCTTTCCTCTTCAGGAATAATATATTACCAAGGTACCCACGTGTTCAATAGCGACAACATAAGTGATAGCTTATCTTGTTTGTTCAACGCTGCACTTTCTATTATGAAAATATACCCGCTGTGGAGATAATGCTCTTTTTAAAGTGGGATCTAGAAGTACTCTTCTTAATAATGTAATTTATCCACACGAGTAGAGTTTATAAGAAATTAAAAAAAAAATAATAATGTAATTTAAATTTTTGAGAGAGGCTTATTCTAACATTAACATTACTATAAATTATGTAGAGCAAAGTTTATTCATGTATGCATTTGTCACTTGGGATGTCTTGAACTTATCTGAGATGAATACACAGCAGATAGAAGCATGGATTTATATACAAATGACTTAGATTTTTTTTTTTTGCAGATATTTGACAGTTTCCCTAATTGTGCTTATTTTTTTAATACATCTTATAAATCAAAGTAAATCGACCTGTGAACTTTACTGAACCGTACAATTTCTTTTCCTCAAAGGACGCTCTGTGAAACTGTAAAGGACTTTGTGGCCAAAGTCGAGAAGGCTTATGACAAAACTTTGGAAAATGCTGTTGTCGCAGACGCCGTGGCCAGTAAAGTAAGAGCAACATGAAAGTTGTTTACTCACAATGTCAACATTGAACTGTGCATTAAACCTGAACTGATTAAGTGATTTTCCCGCCAGAACATCTTAAACCAAGACAAAAATTACTTTTCAGTGAGATATGAGGATTTTAATAAATATTCTACTTTATGGTTACCCTGTAGTAAGTGGGAAAGCTGCATTGCTTAAAACCATCTGACAAATGGATTTTATAACTTAAATCCCTTTTGCAGCGATTGACATCTTGAAGGGGAAACGGGTAGCGGTAGGAAGGGAGGGGGGAATCTTGTACCACCGGCGTTCCAGTGGGGTGAGGAAGGACTTTCCATTTCCAAGCAAGGCTTGGTCTGTCCAGCTCCCTTCCCTGCACGGTTCCCTGGGCTCCCTAGATATCGCCGTCCTTGGTCCCTTTCAGAGTGCTGTTTCTTGCATTTGTTTACAGATATTTTTCTGCTTCATGAGCTTTTGGGTGCTAAAATAAGAGCAGTTTACTCAGCCTTAAAAGCTACTGTCTTTGCTTTTATAAGTTCATGCTAGGGCATTCTTACCAAAGGGCTTGGATAGCTTGGGCTTGCAAAGGAATTTGCTCCCCCAGATTCATGCTGTAGATGGTGGTGTAATTGAGTGGAAGGAAAAGAAGATAGAAATAAACATATATTTGAAGTTTTCAGCCTCTTTCTCTTGTCTTTCCACTCTGTGGAGCATTTCAGAAAACAGAAACCTTCATTGGCCACATTTTTGTCTCTAAACTATTTCTGCTGTAACTTTGTCTCTGCATGTCATCAAAGAGAAGTAAGTGGAGGAGGAAAGGGCCTAGGAATTGTGTGGAGGTAAAAGGTATATTGGGGGTAAAATCCTGAATGTTTCTTCACACCTAGTAATACAAGTAAAGCAGGAAGAAACAGGACTTGCCTACTGCTTGTTTTTCTTTCTGCATCACCCTTCTCTTCCCTCTTTATCCTTGTACATTTTCCTTCTTATATTTTCTTTGAGCCGATAATCTCCTAGGCATCTTCACTCGTTTGCAAACTACTGCTTTACAGGTGAGCTTGCCAAGACTCAGCCAGAACTGGAGTTTGTGATACTCAAAATAGTGCCATAAGTCAATTACTTAAAAAAAAAAAAAAGTTTATCTAATGTTTTGTGCAATATATAGAAAATTTTGAGTAGTATATAATTTTTTATGTAATGTGTCATAGTAAAGTATCTGTTGTGTTCTTCTAAGAAAAATAGCTGTACAAAGGTTGTAAAGATTTTTTTTATTGCCTGGGCTAGAGTGCCATGGCATTAGCCTAGCTCACAGCAACCTCAAACTCCTGGGCTCAAGCAATCCTTCTGCCTCAGTCTCCCGAGTAGCTGGGGACTACAGGCATATGCCACCATGTCTGGCTAATTTTTTTTTTATATATATTTTTAGTTGGCCAATTAATTTCTTTCTATTTTTTAGTAGATATGGGGTCTCACTCTTGCTCAGGCTGGTTTCGAACTCCTGACCTCTAGCAATCCTCCTGCCTCGGCCTCCCAGAATGCTAGGATTATAGGCGTGAGCCACCTTGCTCAGCCGATTGTAAAGATTCTATTTTTACCCATGAAATAGGATCTGAAAGGTTCTGGAAGCATAAATCAATGAAATGACATAAGAATTGTGCCAATTAAAAAAAATATTAATTATTAATATTTAGTAGACATCACCATAGGCTTCTTCCCTCTAAATCAAAAGTCATTCATTTAAATTACTATTTTCTATCTCTACTAAATAGAGATTTTACAATTAGATGCTTCCTGATCCAAAACATCTACAATATTACAGGTGGTGGCCATTTGAATTTTAGTGTTTTTCTCTCTAGCGATTAAACTTTGAAATATCTTACATAGAAATTTGTCGTATTTTGTCTGCTGATCTTAATTCTTTTTGGATTGCTTCCTCATTGCTGTATTTCTGTTTTCTCAGTGTTCAGTCCTAAACGAGAAGCTTGAGCAACTGCTCCAGGCTCTACACACAGATGCCCAGGCTGCTTCCGTCCTCCCGGGCCTCGGCCCTCTCATTGTGGAGCAATATGCTGTGGAGTCTTCAAGTGAAGAGTCCTTGGGTGAAAGCAAGGAACACCTCACAGATGATGTTACAAAACCTGCCTGCCAGAAAGCCGTCAGACCAAGGGAAATAATGCTTCGGGCAAACAGTTTAAAGAAGGCGGTGAGGCAAGTCATCGAAGAAGCTGGAAAAGGTACATGTTAACAAAATTGGCTTTGGAAGAAGTTAGCAGCATTTCCTACTGCAAGCATAACAGTTTTCATGGTGGTGAGAGTGGACACAATTAAAAAAATTGTTTTAAGACAAGATAGAAGATAAAGTCATTGAAATGAAATTTATACTTAGTCTTATGTATTATTTTAGTAGCAGCAGTAGTAAGAATCAACATATTAATGATGCATAAAATAAAATCTCAAAAATAAGTTGAAATATTTCTAAACTAAAATAGAAAATGAGTTTAAATAGTATTTCTATAATTTGAGATATTTTTTACTTAATTGGAAGATGTCGAATTCTTAAAGAAAATGAAATCTGTAAACTACTTTGAAGATATAGAAAATACTTTAACATTAATTTTCTAAAGGTTCATGTTGCTTTATTAAGAATTTATAAAAACTCTGCCTATATTTTAATTTTTGTATTAAATAATATATGTACTTCCCTTAGAATTTTAGTGGTAGACTAAAAGTTAATTTTAATATGAATGATGAATGTTCAAGAACTCCTTTATAGATTGTAATTGATAATTGGACTTGTATTACATTCTCTAAAATTCTCATTTTATTTTTTATTCTGATAGACATATAATTTGAACAACTCTATTTAGTTTTATAATCTCTAGTACTTATAGACATCCCCCTCAAGTTTATTGCCTAAATAATGTTTCTTTGTAAATATGGAATTTCTTTCAATATATGTTAATTTTCCTTTCCTGAGCATATCTTAATATGAATGGGTTTTATTGTTACTTGTCCGAACATATTTATCTTACTGCTTAAAGCAACGGATGATCAGACAGTTCACCCCTGTGAGCCAGCTACTCACTCGTCCGATTATGATAGCACTGAAACCGATGAATCTAAAGACGATGATATAAAAGACTCATCAACTGGTAAGGAAACCATGATAAGATTATTTTTTGAATTAAATAGAATACAATTTTGCTTTTAGTTTTCAAAAGGCTTATCAGTTTGAAGTGAACTATTTGTATTTTCCTTTTAGAAAAGGCTAAGGAAATAACCAGGTTAAAGCTTAGTTATTCATGAATATTAAAAGATAACAGATTATTTAAACTATTGTTGGGTACTCTCACACCTTCTCATCATGTCATCTAGAGATTATAATAAAAAACTGAGGCTTGTGGGACTAAGGATGATTAAATATCTTGGTTTTCCTAAGAAAGGGAGAAGAAACACCTAAATCATCCAATTTTAATCTATTTTAGCTCACAGATTCCTTTGACATGTAAGAAAACTGCAGGCCACACATAACACTAAATTTGGCATTTAAATGATTCAGCCTTTAAGTTCCATTCACCAACCTTCTAGGTTGATAGTCCACATGAATAAATTAAGCTTTAAAATCACAGGACTTATAGTTACAACCCTTTCTTTGCCAACCCTTTTTTTGCAAGGAAGTTAATATGTAATTGCCTGAAGAATGTTAACTATTTCTCTACCTCTTTGGTGATAATTGAAGATAATTTATACTTTTAATATTTTACATTGTATAAGGGAAAAGTTTCCAACTTACTGGAATAAACCAAAGCAGAAAGTAAAATATTAATGAAGGTGAGAAGATAATATGAAAATAAATACACAGTACTCATAAAAGGCAACACAGTTATATCAGAACTATTTGCAGTCATTTTTGCTTTCACTTTCATTACATATAAACATGAGCAAATTACTTAACCTCTCTGTAGTTTCCTCAACTCTTTAAAATGGAGAAAATAATGTACCCACTTCACTGGGTTGTTGTAAAGATTAAATAAGTTACTATGCATAAAGTGCCTAGAATGGTGTCTGATACACAGTGCTGTATGAGTGTTTGCTGTCATTATTATTATTATTATTGCTATTACTGCTGCTGCTGTACTAATTACATTAATTGTGGGGTTTTTTTTTTTTTTTTTTTGAGACAGAGTCTCACTTTGTTGTCCAGACTAGAGTGAGTGCTGTGGCGTCAGCCTAGCTCACAGCAACCTCAAACTCCTGGGCTCAAGCAATCCTGCTGCCTCAGCTTCCCAAGTAGCTGGGAGTACAGGCATGCGCCACCATGCCCGGCTAATTTTTTCTATATATGTTAGTTGGCCAATTAATTTGTTTCTATTTATAGTAGAGACGGGTCTCACTCTTGCTCAGGCTGGTTTTGAACTCTTGACCTTGAGCAATCCACCCACCTCGGCCTCCCAGAGTGCTAGGATTACAGGCGTGAGCCACTGTGCCCAGCCTAATTTTGAGAGAATATTACTTGATTGTATTTAAAAGACTTAAGAACTATGAAAGTAGACCTTGAAGACCTCACGTGTTCAGCATACAACCCAATCCAGGCACATTGTAGGACCTTTTTGACAGATGGTCATTGAGCCTTGGGCCACTCACTTTCAATACATCCCACTCTTATGGTCAGCTCTAATTATTAGAAAGGTATTCTTTGTATTGAGTTTTCTGTTTTCTCCTTTAAATTTCTACCCACGATTGCAATAGTTACTAGGTTTTATTGGTGTTGACAGTAACGACTACTGGCATTTGTGTAGTGCTTATGGTTAGTTTAAAGATCAATTTCACACACATTATTTCACTATATTGAAGATGACTCTGCCTCTGGAACTGTATCTTGTTCTTCCTAATACCAAAAACAGCTTTCATGGCGTTAGATCTCCTTCCCACACCTTACGCCTTCTTTTCCAGATGATTTATCCTAAGTGCAATGTTTATCTTAAAATGTAATGTGCCATTTTGAACAAAATTCTTGAGATATTTTCTGTACTCTGATAGCACATTGATACCCATACTATACTCATTCTAGACATTTTGGATGTTACAAAGAGTACCCAAGATTTTTTTTTTTAAATCTAATTATAGTCATTTACACACATCCCTATGAACTTTTATCTTTTTTATTTAGATCTATCATTTCATCCTCTGAAAATCTTTTGAAGTTTGATTCTATCAGCTGAAGTTTATTCCATCTGTGAATTTGATAAGCAAGACTTAGACGTTTTTATCCATTAAACATGTTGACTAAACCAGGGCTGACAATGATGTCCTTACAGAATGCTGTTTGATAATCCCCCTGAGATGATGACTCTCTTTGTAGGATTGGGTTTTCAACACTCATTGCTAATGGTTGTCCAACCAGCTGTCATCCTGTCTTACCATAATCTCTTAAACTTGACACTTCCATTGTAGTCTTTAAAAGAAACTAAAAAATATAGATATAGTGCTACAGATATTGATACTGAAATAGACATAGACTTAGAAAAGCCTTTAATGGTATAGTATTTAATCTTAATTTTGGCTAGTACTTCAACTTATGAGGAAACCAGTAGCAATAGTAGATGTGTTTCTGCTTTCAATAATCATTATATTTTCAAGCACATTGTACCATTATTAAATTATATAATAATTCATATTTCTGAGCTATGACAAATACAGTATATTAATATGATCAATGAGTTGCCTTATTTAAGAAGAACCATGAAACATTAATTTGGTTACTTGCAGTGGAACATCAATCTTAGTCATTAGTATGCTCTCTGCTTTTTATCAGATGAACATCAAAAAGTTGTTTTTATTAGAAATTAGCCCCAGGAGTCCCATCCATCAAAAAACAAACAAACAAGAAAAAGAGTGGCTGTTCTGTTACTTTTCTTTAGTGTAACTGGACTGTTTTTGAACAGAGAGAATAGAGTGTAAAATTAATATAGTTGGTTTATAATTAGTTTTAGGAAGAGTGAAGATAATTAAGTTTGTAGAGTATTTTAAAATCAAGTGTCAGAATTACTGTGTTTTTTTAAAAAAATGCCTGCCAATAACTCCTAAATTAGTCAATGGTACTATTTGCTCTGAATTAAATTGCCTCAGTTTAGATAGAGTTAAATCTTTCTTTTTGTTATTTACTTTGAGAATAATTGTGTTTTGCAAGAATTTTAAAAATATATTGAGCTTATACAAGAATATAATAGAACTATTTTGGGAAAATCATCATTTTAAACAAATAATTGAGATGTACAGGAAAAGCATATTGGTTTCACATGAAAATAAATACTACCTTTCCATTTATTGAAGAGAATGTTAACTCATGTTTTACACGTTAACTATGGGAATTACATTAATTAAATTTGATTATTCACTCAATATTTATGTGAAAAGGATAATGATGGTAGTGTACATTTTAACACATATGTTCCATTTTCAAAAGTTATCAGGCTTTAAAATGTTTATTTATTTTTAAATGTGGGTTAGTATTCAAATTATGAGCATTACTGACCTTTAATTATAGTAGACATCTATTTTTTACTGATTTCCATCTATGTGAGATGAAAGATCAAGACATCTCTCATCCAGCCACCTGTGGCAGATTCCCTCTATATACATCTCAAGAAAAAGAAAACAATAGAAAAGGATATGTAAACTCAATTAATATTTGTAGTTCCACTGATTGATTTAAACAGGTATTCAATTATTTTATGTATAGGTGCTTGTTTATTTTTGTAGCTTTATCATTATCTCTCTTTAATCTGGACTTTTTGCCAACAGTTAAAACTGCTCCTAGGTCTCCAGATTCCCGGGCAAGTCATGGCCATTCCCAGGCTGATTCTGTCCCTGGTCCAGCTATAGCAGCCAGCAAAGAAAATCTCCCTGTGCTCAATACCAGAATAATCTGCCCAGGTAGTACAGATTCTGACACATGGTGTATTTTTAAGTCTTTCAGTGAAAATGTGTAAGTACTCATTTCCATGAACTATAGCAACGTGTTCTTAAATGTTCCTTTAGGAGAATGTTCTTGGTATATACTTGGATAGTTATAATCCAGCTCCTTAGAGTCTTCTGTGTATAACAGTTGCCTGGATAATAATAAAATACATGTTTTTAGGCCCTGCCCTGAGAAATTGTGATTCAGTAATTCTAGAGTGGAGCCCAGGAATCTGCATTTATTACGTACCCAAAGTCAATATGATCTCATATTCTACTACTTCTTAAGTGTCTTCACAGCTTGGGGTTTAAGCCGCAAATCTCTCTGTAGTCATTTGTAGACTGGTGATATTGCTTCCTTTTTGAATATCTGAGGCAGGGGGCCTCAAACTTTTTAAAAAGGGGGCCAGTTCACTGTCCCTCAGACCATTGGGAGAGTGTGCACTGTGGGCCTGGGACTAGTCCGCTGCTAAGCAGGACAGGCAGCGGCGGCAAAAACACCCGGAGGGCCGGATAAATGTGCTAGGCAGCCTGCATGTGGCCCGAGGGCTGTAGTTTGAGGACGCCTGATGAGGCATCTATTCCAGCCCTGCTAAAGGGAATATACTTTGGGATTAGGCTAGTCCTAGTGGAAACCAAAGGACTGTGGGGCAGGAGATGGAGGAAAATTCAAGTGTCTCAGGAGCCTTATTAAGTGCCAGTTGTTTGACTTACTGGAAACCCTCCAGATTCATTCAGATTAGAATCCAAGTTAGACCCTGAAAATCAGTGTCTCCCATGGGCTCTTTTAAAGGTGAATCACAATTCAGTAATAATAGTTGGAGATTTTAGTACCTCACTTTTAACAGTGGATGGAACAACTAGAGAGATGAACAGCAAAGAAATAGATACTTGAAAAAACAAGTGTTGAACTTTCTTATAGTAAAAATCACTCAATAAACTAAGAATAAAAGAGAACTTCTTCAAGCTGAGAAAGGGCGTCTATAAAAACCCCACAGGTAGCATCATACATAATGGTGAAAGGCTGAAAGCTTCCTCTCCAAGATAAGGAACAAGACAAGGATGTTTACTCTTGCCACTTCTATTCAACTTTATACAGGAGGTTCCAGCCTGGGCAATTAGGCAAAATAAAAAGAACGGAAGGCATCCATATTGGAAAGAAAGAAGTACAACTGTATGTCTTCACAGGTTGATCTTGCACATACAAAATCCTAAGGAACACACACACACACACACACACACACACACCATTAGAGCTAATAAATAAGTACAACAAGGTTGCAGGATAAAAGATCAATATACAAAAAGCAATTGTATCTCTATACACTAGAAATGAGTGCTCAGAACATGAAATTAAGAAAACAGTTCTATTTGCAGTAGGATCAAAAACAAGAAAATACTTGGGAGTAAATTTAACCAAGAAGGTGAAAGACTCAAACACCAAAAAGTAGAAAACACTGCCGAAAGAAATTGAAGAAGACCTAATGGAAAAATGGAAAATGGAAAACTTGGAAATGGAAAAATGGAAAACCTAATGGCTAAATGGAAAACATCTGGGTTGAAAAACTGAATATTATTAAGATATCAGTACTCCCCACACTGAACTACAGATTCCACATAATCTGTATTAAATCCCAGCTGTCTTTTTACACAAGTGGATTTTAAAACTCATCTGGAAATGCAAAAGACCTACAATAGCCAAAACAATCTTGAAAAAAGAACAACAAAGGTGAGACACACATTTCCCAATTTCCCAAACTTACTACAGAGCACAGTAGTCAAGACTGCATGGTGCTGACATAAGAACAGTCATATAGATCAACGAAATAAAATTGAGAGTACAGAAGTAAACTCATGCATTTATGGTCAGTTAATTTCAACAGGTGTGCTAAGATAATTCAACAGAGAAAGAATAGTCTTTCCAACCAGTAGTATTGGGAATAACAACATATCATCAGCAAAGGGTAAAGTTAGACCTCTACCTCACTCCATATATACAAATTAACTCATTATAGATAAAAGACTTAAATATAAGACCTTAAAGTATGAAACTATAAAAGACATAGTCATAAACTATAAACAACATAGGCATAAACGTTCATAACCTTGAGTTAGGCAGTGGTTTCTTAGATATGACAGGAAGCACAGACAACAAAAGAAAAAAATAGAGAACTGGACTTCATCAAAATTAAACATTTTTGTGATTCAAATAACACTATCAAGACAGTGAGATGACAGCTCAAGAATTTGTAATTAATATATCTGGTAAGGGACTAGTATCTAGAATATATGACGAATTCTTAGAATTCAACAATAAGAAGACAAATATCTCAATTTTAAAATGATAAAGGGATCTAATTAGACATTTTCACAAAGAAGCTATACAAATAACCAAAAGCACATGAAAAGATGCTCAACAGCATCTTTTAGTCATCAGGTAAATGCAAATCAAAGCAACAGTGAGGTGCACCTTTATGCCACAGGATGGCAAGGAGCAAAAAAGGTAGATAAATATTGTCAAGGATGTGAAGAAATTAGAACCTTCACACATTGTTACTAGGAATGTAAAATGGCACTGCCATTTTGAAAAACAGTTTGGCAGTTCCTCAGAAAGTTTAACATAGAGTTAACATGTAACCCAGCAATTCTAGTACTAGCTATTAATGTGTACCCAAGAGAATTGAAAATAAATGTGTACCGAAAAATTTGTACATGACTATCTATAGCACCATTCATAGCCCTAAAGTAGAAACAACCCAAATATCCAGCAGTTGAATGGATAAACAAAAAGTGGTATATCTATACAATGGAATATTACTCAACCATTAAAAAGAATGAAGCACGGATACATGCTACAACATGATTACCCTTGAAAACAAGCCAATTGAATGAAGGTGAACATAAAAGCCAGATATTATATGATACCATTTATATGGAGTATGCAGAATAGTCCAATCCATAGAGACAGAAAGTAGATTAGTAGTTTCTAGGAAACTGGGGGCAGGGAAAGATCTTAGAAGGATGGAAAATGATGGCTAATGGGTATAGGGGTTAGGGGGTAATAAAAAAGCTTTAGAATTATTAGTAGTGAGGGTCGTACAACTTCGTGTATATATTACAAACAACTGAATTATTTTAAAACTTTAAAAGGGTGAATTTTATAATGTGTGAATTATATCATAATAAAAATATTAAAAGAAAAAAGATAAATCCAGAACATGCTTGGCTCTGGCAAGGCCTCCAGGTTTACAGGTCATGTTTCTATGCCTAACTCTAAAACATTTTAGAAAATATGACACTTCTCTGTGGGGCAGCTAGACTATGGCTCTTCACCTTTCCAAATTATTCTTTACTCTCATCAGATCTATTGTTTATATTTATGCATTTACTTGTTTAGACATTAAGAAATTGGCATAACAAAGCATGCCATGGCATATTCAAAACTATGCCATTGAATGACAGAATAAAATTTATCTTAATTATTTGATAATCAGCTAAACATTATTAATTAAAATAACGAATAATAATCTTCTAAGAAGAGGACATTGTTGAAACAAGGAGTTTTTGGTAAAGATAGGACTTGTTTTTCTAATTTCCTAGTGTTTCTCAATTGCATGACATGTTTTTCTTCACTATTCTTTCCTTTTTTGTTTGTTCCCATAGGCCCTTAATAGTGTTTCTAGCCTTAATATTGGATTGAGTAGATCATAAAATTCATTAGCCTTGAATATCATAACCAGTTAATGGAAAGAATGTTGAAATAAATTTGAAGTTTTGCATATTCAGAGATAAAACAGAATCTTCATTTTTATATTCTATTAATATATTCTAAAATTCATAAATATGTACATTTAATATTTTACTACTTTCTTGACACTAAACTACATTTTCACCTTATTACATTTCTTAACATTTTTAATTGAGTATTACTATTTATGCTTTGAGAGTATAGAGTGGTAACTCCATGACATTTTGAGTAATTCAGCCTTTATTGTAAATTCTTTACAGACTTAATACCTTATTTTCTGTAACAAAGGAAGTAACATGTCTTTGTTGGAGTTATAGAATTATTGGGATGGCAAATGAGAAAATGTCACAAAACAACTTCTACTTAGGTCTGCATCTCCTTAAATCTTTATGATAACATATAGATCCTTGGAAGCATCAAAAACCTTATATTCACAAATGTCATAATTCTTAGTTTTGATTAATGAGAAGATGAGGCACTGAAAATCATGCTTTTGGAGCAAGATGTTTGAATGTGGGCCTGGGTGGACTGGCTCTTTTTGGTTTTTCCTAACATGTGATCCTGTGTGTGTTTATTTTTCTATCCAGGTTTAAGAGCAGGACTAGCTGCCTCAATTGCTGGGAGTTCTATTATCAATAAAATGTTACTAGCAAACATTGATCCTTTTGGTGCAACACCATTTATTGATCCAGAGCCAGATTCAGTGTAAGAAAATGCCTTTGCAAATCTTTTGTCTTTTCTTGTTTCTGTTTTATATGAATTATAATATTTTCAACTGTCTTACCATAAATATAGTTCCATATACAAAAAGGATGATCAGCATATTTCAAAAATTGATAATGATGGGAACATTGAGCCCTTTGAAATTCAGTGGTCTCCATGCTTTGGCACTGAGGGAGGTCCTTTTTCAGCCTGTTCTCTCTGAGACCAGCCCTCAGGAAGAAAGGAACAGCTCTACTCACTTTCTCTGGAATATTTTACTCAATGGCCCCTTTAGACCTATATTTATGCTATTGCCTTTACCTCCTTTCTTCTCAAGTCTTGCCAAATCTGTCATCTTTCCACATCCAGCTTCTAGGTTTACTTATTTGGGAAGCCTCTGGCCCACACCAATCTCTTCCATTCTCAAAACTCCCCCCACCCCCAATTTTTTTTCACAGTTCAAGATATATATTTTTTACTTTAATTTTGCTTTTGATAGATCTCATTTATATAATGACATTGCTCAAGGACAGTACCACACTTTAAAATTTCCAAAATGACTAGAAGAATGGGTTGGATCTAGTAGTTTTTTGCTCAATAAATGCTTGTCCATTGTTAAGAGTAGAAGTGGAGGAAACCTTGTAATGATCAAAAAAAGAGGAGTATTGGCTCCTGACTTCAAGACCCTCTGAAAATCATCCTCATTTATATGAGTAGTGAGGGACTTATATAGGAGATAGAACCACTAAGATTTTATTACAATTAATAGAAAACCAAACCATAGGTGTCTCAGCTTTGCTTTGCATATCATCCCTTTATATCACCAGAAATTGTACACATTTCCTGTGGTTCTACATATGGATATTAAATAGGAAGTGATTATTGCTAATCTTTACAATCCTTGTATAAGGAATGGAAGCTTAAATGGTTTTAAGTGCTATTTTGTGTACAAATTTTAAGTGTTGTAATGAACCCGAAATTGACTTTAATGTACTTTTCCTTATGACCATAGAGATGGATATTCAGAAAAATGTGTCATGAACAATTACTTTGGGATTGGATTAGATGCAAAAATTTCATTAGAATTTAATAATAAGAGAGAGGAGCACCCTGAAAAATGCAGGTAATTTTGGTAATAATAATAATGTTATTACATAAGGGCAATTTTACTTTAATTTCATTTATTATCTCTTTTGCTTGCTCTGCCCTTAAGAAGCAAATAAATAATTTTTTCCTGAAATTGCCTGTCAACGTTTATTTTCAGAAGCCGAACCAAAAACTTGATGTGGTATGGCGTCCTCGGAACCCGGGAGTTATTACAGAGGTCATACAAGAATTTAGAACAAAGGGTTCAACTGGAGGTAAGTTCATCACAAAATAATAAAGACATCATTTACTTACATAGATTATCTTACTTAGAAAAATAATTTCATTTGTGGAGCTAATTTGACCTAAATTCATCTTGATTATTGATTATATATTCAAGGGGAAAAATGGAAGTGCTGATCAACTTTATACTAAAGGAGATATAGATACTGGATATGAGTGATGTACTTAACTATCATCCTCATTAGCTCCTGAAATTGGGTCTTCTGTGGGGTAGTAGCAGTACCCCAGGAGAAGACAGAGCCATGGGGGTACATATAGGAGATGGTTTTTGATGGGTTTTCTCATTTAACACACAAAGTTTTATAGATCCCTGCAAATAACATTCATACTAAATAAAATTACTTAATTTAAATGTATGTTTATTTTCTGTTCCAATTATTTCTAATAAGATAATAGTAAAAGAAAAAGGTTTTGAGCATTTACCTTTTAAAATATATTTTACTAATTTAAATAGGAAATGAAGGACAGCAAAAGTTATTTAATCTCCTTCCACAACAGGAAAAAGAAGGTTGGGGACATGGCTCTGAAAAGTCTATCAATTTCTATGAATTTTATTTTCTTTTTCTCTTGTTTCAGGGATCACTATGCTGACAGGCATGTCTTTTCCTTTCTTATGTCTTTTTATAACCGGATATTTTTAATTAAAGTATATCATACATATAGAAAAATGTATAAATGTTAAGTCTACAGCTCAACAATTTAAACAGAGCATTATTTAGATGTTATCTCAACACTGGAATGTGGGCTAAAGAGGTGCCAGGCTCATTCATTATCAACTAAATGTTCTGCTCAAGATCAGCATGTTATACCTTTCACTCTAAAAACAACTGCATAATCAGCCGGTTTGATTTATCATTGCTTATAAAATTAAGACAGACAGACTTAATCACCATACCATATTACCTGGTGAAATAAGCACAGAAAAACACTGATCAGAAAAAAAGCCTAACTGCAGTTTTGTAGTATTTTGCTACCCAGAAATGGAAACGTGGGATGATAGGGAAGATTATAAATGAGTAGAACATTCCTGAAATTTTTCTTGAATATAAAAAACTTTTGAGTCATGTGACCTTAATTTATCTGTGCTTCTCCTATTTTTCCTATGAGAATCTATAAAGTGGATATTAAGCACTTAACTCCAGATGTTTTGCTTAATGTGTATATGTTAAATTTAGCACTACACATGAAACTTCTTTCTGAAAATGTTCTTTTTTCATGCCATGCTTGTAAATAAAGTGCATCCATTTCTAAAATCTTTAAAGACTGCTCTGAATTATTTTAAAAAATACTTCTTCCATTTATAGAGATAGTATTTTTTTTCCATTTCCTTTAAGTTAGTCATATGACTTAAAACAGCTTCTTCTAAAGCACACAAAGGTACTCGTTTAATGCATTGGGTGGAGAAAAAGTTTATTATTCTAGTAAGTATTTAATATGTATTCATTTAACAAATATACATTGAACACCAGCTCTGTGTCAGGCACACTCCTAGGTGCTGGGTTACAGTGTGGACCTTTGAATGTGAAATGCTCAACCTGGTCTAATGGTTTTCATGAAAAAGGAATTGTAAAAAATGCACGTGGAGGTAAATCATTTATGAAGTCTGAATTATTTAAAGTGGTTGAAAATAGATTCAGACTGGATTCTCCTTTGTTCTAAAGGTAGGAGACAATTTTGATTGCATATTAAAATGCATTTTTTTAAAATTATGTTAGTTATTTTTAGTATGAGAAATTATTGAATGAAAATATAGCATATATTTTAAGTGTAGCAACTGCAGGCTCTTCTCTTAAAATGAAGGCTTAAATCTTTCCATTGGATTAAATGTTCACTTAGAAAAATATTAAGTGGTTTGGCTTAAATGCTGATTAAAATATTAAATATAACATCATATAATTTATATAATTATGGTCATTTTTCTTAAGAGATTTAAAAAAAATCAGTTTCTTAACTGACTGTCATCTTAATAGTCAACTAGGCTTTATTTAAGTATTAATAGAGTGAAGCAAACAGTAGCCAGGCATGGTGGCATGTGCCTGTAGTCCCAACTACTTGGGAGGCTGAGGCAGGAGGATCACTTGAGCCCAGGAGTTTGAGGCTGCAGTGATCTGTGATCATGCCAGTGCACTCCAGACTGGGCGACAGAGCAAGACCCCATCTCTAAAGGATGCTCTTCGCAAAAAAAGCAAACAGCGTTAATTTAATTTTTAAAAATTAAGAAACAACCTTTATGAAAAGGTAACAATTCTGCTTCTACTGAGTAAGAATTTATTCATGTCACGTCATTTCAGCAGCCATATCCTTGCCCTCTACCCCCTTTAAGTGGTAATGTAATTTTCCTTGGCTTTGGTTGTGACTACTTGAACAACTCAGCTTTTGAGTTTAGACAGTCCCAGGTGGTTATAGGGCACCAGCAATGTACCAGGACCGTGAGAGGTGCTAAGTGAGATGGTTAGGACCAGATTCTCCCCTTACACAGCCTGCTTTCAAAAGGATACTTAAAATAAGTACAGAGAAGACTACAATATAAGTGAGAATATCATTAAGTGACCTGAAAAAGACTCAAGAAAAGTACTGCCTGGCTTTGGAGGAAAGAGGTATATAACATTTTTAAAAAATCAGTTTTCTGAAACAGCTTCTGCTATAGTTATTTATAGTTTCAAATTTTTTAGTTACAAAAAATAAGATAAAAGCTTTTGCAACATGTAGGAATGTATTAACAGGGGAGCAGACATTACCAACACGTTCTGCTCCATCGCCTTTTGTCTTTGGTATTTTACTATCTTTCAAACTATTGGTTTTACCCTTTTTACCTAATCTCTTAAGTTTTTCCCTTACAGTGTGATGGGCAGTATATTCCCCTCCCCAGTCTGCAAGGCATCGCAGTGTTGAACATCCCCAGCTATGCGGGAGGCACTAACTTCTGGGGTGGAACTAAAGAGGATGATGTAAGTAGCATAATGGGAGTAAATTGTTTCCTCAAAAATAATTAAATTACTGGAATACCTCACTTATTAAAAAAATGTGCTTTTTAATAGTAATTTAATTTCACGTTAGAATATTTTACATGGGGAAGATGCGGTGTGGAATAGATTTAGGATTTTATTTGCATGGTCTCTCATGGATAGACTCTAAATTTTCTCATGTTAAATATATAGGTATGCATATCTTGGGGTGTATGTGATAATTTTCTGGATGAACATAAAAGAATCTACTTTGCGAAAGTAGATTTAGAGAATAAAGAAAGGAAGGTTTCACTTTTTTATTTCCTGTGTTAGTTTTCTACTGCTGCTGTAACGAATTAACACAAATTTAGCCACATCACACCCATTTAGCACCTTACAGTTTTCTACGATAGAGTCTGATAGAGTCTGGCACGGTCTCACTGGGCTAAAACCGAGGTGTCAGCAGGACCGTGTTTCCTCCTAGAGGCTCTGGGGAGAATGTTTCCTTGCCCTTTCCAGATTCTAGAGGCTGCCCAGGTTCTTCCCTCCATCTTCAAAGTCAACAAAGGCTGAATCCTCCTATTGCATGCTCTGACCTCCTGACCTATTTCTTCTTCTGCTTTTAATGACTCTTGAGATTACGTTGGGCCCATACAGATCATCGAGGACAATCTCCCCATCTCAAGGTCCTTAATTTAATCACATCTGCAAAGCTCCTTTTTGCCATGTGAGGTAACACATTCATTCACAGGTCCGGGGATTGGGACATGGACCGTTTTGGGGTGGGCAGGGGGCATTATTCTGCCTACCACAATACCTTTCAGTACTCTTCATTTTCTAAACTTGGTTGTGTGTGTATGAATATATATATTTTTTAGGAATATTGGGAGGGTTCATTTGGCCAGTAAGGTTTGGGGCTAGTTTTGTTTTCTTTTTATACTTTCCTATATTAAAAAAGAAATAAAAAACACAGCCTCACAAATGTTATTGCTCTAAAAAGAATGTAAGAGATGGCACAATTATTAAAGCAAATATAGCAATAAAAGAGGAAATGCAATATTTCAGTCTTTATTTGAAGAGTCATATACATTGATTTGAGCTTATGATATAATGGTTCCCACTGACCTATTTTCTCAGGGCTTCTGAATGGACAGGCAGGGATTAAAGTATAAGATAAATTGGAAAGTATTTGCAATTTTCATGATATGAATGTATTTTAATTCTATTGGAATACAAAAACTTACACCAGCAGTCAACATTTTTTGTCAACCTGTCACTGCTCTGAAATATTTTGAAGGGGAGAAATCAGTGAGATTAAGATAAATAAAGCTGGCTGGGTGCGGGGCTCACGCCTGTAATCCTAACGCTCTGGGAGGCTGAGGCGGAAGGATTGCTTGAGGTCAGGAGTTAAAGACCAGCCTGAGTAAGAGCGAGACCCCTGATTCTACTAAAAATAGAAAATTAGCATGGCTCAGTGGGAGTGGTGCACACCTGTAGTCCCAACTACTTGGGAGGCTGAGACAGGAGGATCTTGAGCCCAGGAGTTTGAGGTTGTTATAAACTATGATGATGTGACAGCACCCTAGCCAGGGAAACAGTGAAACTCTGTTTAAAAAAAGAAAATAAAAGATAAATAAAACTGACAATCCTTGAACACCCACTAAGAAGTAAGATGATATTGTAAAAGCTTCATGGCTTCATGTTCGTTATTTAATACCCACATTTTTTAATCTGAATTTTACCACTGAAGAAACTGAGGCAAAGTTTCCACAATTAGTAAATAGCAGACGCAGGCTTTAAATTGTGGCAATCTGATAACAAAAATTATAAGAAATTATCAATGTTAGCAAATTCATGTCCTGATATTTTCAGTGAAAGTTTTAACTAGGATACTACTTTATACTGAATATTTTTTCACAAGGATATTACTTATGATATAGTAAAAGAGAAAGTAAAAAAGACAAAGTAATACAGCCTGAAGTTAAAATTTTCGAGTAAACTGATTTTGTGAAAATGCATCTAATGTAAAGGCAAAGCAAGTGTACATGATTTTGATCCTCTGAGGCTTCTGTTTCCATCCTCTCAAGCACCCTAAAAATTTGTTGTATTAAAATATAAAGCACATATGCATATTGTTTGTAACACCTTGAAAGATTTCTTTTAGGACATACCAAGTGAACTGGATTATAATTTGCATGTTCATTAATTTTAACCTTATGAAACTATAACACCTTTCAGGTTTTTTAGATTTCCCCAAATTTACATGCAGCATCTTATTAAGACATTTGAATTATGTATAAACAGATATTTAACACATTTTAGACCTGGATGAATTATTTAGAAATATATTAGTTCACTGGTCCAAAGAGTGTTTTATGAGAGATATGCATATCATATCCATGTGTGTTTGAAAACCCCCTTTTTTTTTTAACTATAATTATTTACTTTAAGCCATCTTTAGAGATTTTTTTTTCTTGGAGTTTCATTGCCTAATAATATTTATTTACTGTTATGCTTATTGTTTTCATAAGTTTTAAACATATCTCTACATATCAGAGTTTACATTGCTTGATGCACCACTTCACCTATACCTTCAGTGGAAGTGTAATGTAGTTTTTCCTTTCAGATATTTGCTGCACCATCATTTGATGACAAGATCCTGGAAGTCGTTGCAATATTTGATAGCATGCAAATGGCAGTTTCAAGGGTCATTAAATTGCAGCATCATCGAATAGCCCAGGTTGGTTTCTCTAATCAAACCTGACTGCACTCCTTGGGCCACAGAGGGTTGCGGGGAAGCTATTCCCGAATGACTCCTACACTGGATATTCATCTATAAAATATTGGTTTTCTTGTCATGTCAGTTGCTACCATGTCATTATAAGTGGTAGAGGATAGCAGTCCACCTGACAGAACAGACTAATATTCAAGCCTGAATGCAGGTCGAGTGTCAGTTTCTCAGGATGATTTGTACTCAAAAGTAACTTGTGTGTTTTATTTCAGTGCCGTACAGTAAAGATCACTATATTTGGCGATGAGGGAGTCCCAGTGCAGGTGGATGGTGAAGCATGGGTTCAGCCTCCAGGGATTATCAAGATTGTGCACAAAAACAGAGCTCAGATGCTAACAAGGGACAGAGTATGTAAAAAGAAACGTGCTTCTAGAATTTTATCAAGTTGTTTTTTTTTTTTTTATTTCGGCATATTATGGGGGTACAGATTTTAAGGTTTCAATAAATGCCCATTTCCCCCCTCCCCCCAAAAGTCTGAGTCTCCATCATGACCATCCCCAGATGGTGCACATCTCACTCATTATGTATGTATATACCGCCCCCTTCTCCCACCTGCCCAATACCCTATTACTGTAGTACTATGTGTCCACTTAGGTGCTACTCAGTTAATACCAGTTTGCTGGAGAATATATCTGGTGCTTGTTTTTCCATTCTTGGGATACTTCACTTAGTAGTATGGGTTCTAGCTCTAACCAGGAAAATATAAGATGTGCTATATCACCATTGTTTCTTAGAGCTGAATAGTATTCCATGGTATACATATACCACATTTTATTAATCCATTCTTGGATTGATGGGCACTTGGGCTGTTTCCACAGCCTTGCAATTATGAATTGTGCTGCTATAAACATTCGAGTGCAGGTGTCTTTTTTGTAGAGTGTCATTGGATCATTTGGGTAGATGCCCAGCAATGGGGTTGCTGGATCAAATGGTAGATTCACTTGTATCACTTTAAGGTATCTCCATATTGCTTTCCACAGAGGTTGAACTAGTTTGCAGTCCTACCAGCAGTGTAGGAGTGTTCCTCTCTCTCCGTAACCACGCCAGCATTTATTGTTTGGAGATTTTTTGATAAAGGCCTTTCTCACTGGGGTTAAGTGATATCTCATTGTGGTTTTGATTTGCATTTCCCTGATGATTAGAGATGTTGAGCATTTTTCATATGTTTGTTGGCCATTCTTCTGTCTTCTTTAGAAAAGTTTCTGTTCAAGTCCTTTGCCCAGTTTTTAATGGGGTTATTTGATTTTTTCTTCCTGATTTTCGTGAGTTCTAAGTATATTCTAGTTATCAGTCCCTTATCGGATGTATAGGATGCAAAAATTTTCTCCCATTCTGTAGGTTGTCTGTTTACTTTCATGGCTATTTCTTTGGCTGTGCAAAAGCTGTGTAGTTTGATCATGTCTCATTTATTTATTTTTGTTGCTGCTGGTGATTGCCTTTGGGGACTTCTTCATAAACTCTTTGCCCAGGCCGATGTCTAGGAGAGTGTTTCCAACTTTTTCCTCTAGAGTTCTAATAGTTTCATACCTTAGGTTTAAGTCTGTTATCCAGCGTGAGTTGGTTTTGTGAGAGGTGAAAGGTGTGGGTCCTGTTTTAGTCTTCTACAGGTGGCTATCCAGTTTTCCCAGCACCATTTATTGAAAAGGGATTCTTTTCCCCAGCGTATGTTTTTGTCTGCTTTGTCAAAGATTAGATGGCTATATGAGGATGGTTTTATATCAGGATTCTCACATCTGTTCCACTGGTCAATATTCCTATTCCAATATTTTTCCTATTCCTAAATCAATACCATATTGATTTAATTACTACAGCTTTGTAGTATAGTTTGATATCTGGCATATTAATGCCTCCTATTTTGTTTTTGTTGCCTAGAATTGCTCTTGATATTCGGGGTCTTCTTTGGTTCCATACGAAGCGTAAAATTATTTTTTCTATATCTGTGAAGAATGCTGATGGGATTTTAATAGGTATTGCATTGAATCTGTAGATCAGTTTGGGTAGTATAGACATTTTGATGATATTGAGTCTGCCAATCCACGAGCATGGTATGGATTTCCATCTGTTTACATCCTCTGCTATTTCCTTCCTCAGTGTTTCATAGTTCTCCCTGTAGAGGTCTTTTACGTCCTTGGTTAAGTATATTCCTAGGTACTTTAATTTCTTTGTTGCTATTGTGAAGGGAGTTGAGTCTTTGATTTGGTTCTCAATTAGATTGTTGTTGGCGTATATGAATGCCTCTGATTTCTGTGTATTGATTTTGTATCCTGAGACTTTACTAAATTCATTGATCAGTTCCAGGAGTTTCTTGTTGAATCTTTGGGGTTTTCAGATTACAATATCATATCATCAGCAAACAGTGAAAGTTTGATCTCTTCTGCCCCTATTTGGATACCTTTGATTCCATTTTCCTGTCTGATTGCTGTAGCCAAGACTTCCAGCACTATGTTGAACAGAAGTGGAGATAGTGGCAGCCTTGTCTGGTTCCAGTTCTAAGTGGGAATGATTTCAATTTTTCCCCATTCAGTATGATGTTGGCTATGGTCTGTCATATATGGCTGTATCATTTTTAGGTATGTCCCTTCTATGCTTATTTTCTTAAGTGTTCGTATCATGAAAGGGTGTTGAATTTTGTCAAAAGCTTTTTCTGCATCTATTGAAAGAATCATGTGATCTTTGTTTTTGCTTCTGTTTATGTGGTGAATTGCATTTATAGATTTACGTATGTTGAACCATCCTGCATCCCTGGGATGAAGCCACTTGGTCGTGGTGGATTATTTTTTTGACAGGTGTCTGGATTGCGTTAGCTAAGATTTTGTTGAAAATTTTGATCTATATTCATTAGGGATATTGGTCTGTAGTTTTCTTTTTTTTTTGTTTGAGACAGAGTCTCACTTTGTTGCCTATGTCGTGGTGCTGGAAGGGCTGTGCAGATGCGTCTGTGGTAGTGCGTGTTGCTGGAGAAATAATGCTGTTTTGTGTTTTATCAGCTCTTCGTTTGGCGGAGCTGGGTTGGTAGCCTGCTCTCGGCTTTAGCGGGTCAAAAAGTTTTCTCTGCTTCAGGAGAGCTGTTAGGTGTGGCGGAATGGTCACTCACGCAGAACGTCTGGCCTGTGGGGGTGGGGCTGTCTGAACCGCAGTCTGAGCGCTTGATTCTTTCACTCCAGTCACAGTACTCGGGCTCTGCAGCAGGGCAGACACGCACCGGCCTCCGATGTATTTCGGCGGGAGTTCCTGCACCAGGAACGCCACCTGCTGGACGCTCTCCTGGGAGGGGTGTTGCATAGTCGCGATCCCCTGTAGACAACACCCTCGTAGGTTTGGTATAACTTCTAGTGCCCGGGCAATGCTAGCCTCGGTCGAGGATTCTGGTCTGCAGGTCCGACCTCTGGCCAGGTACTGTATCCACCAGGGGGATTTCCGAGGTCTCACTCCACCCAGGGAGCAAGCTGCCGTATGTCTCTCAGCTCTGATCCGGCCGTTCTCCTGGAACGATGTGGCAGCACACTGGGGGTGCGGGCGTAGGGGCTCACAGTCTGAGTTCCTGAGTCAGTTGTTATCCCAAAAGGGAAGTCGTTACTGGAGGTGCCTCTGGTGGTGGCTGTATTGTCTCTATGGAGCCGGAGTAGGTCGGCGGAGGGTTGGGAGCGAGTTTATGGTTGCCTGGGGCTGCGAGAACGGTTTGTGACTTAACGAGGTGCCTAGTGAAAGTGGAACTGTTGCTACTCAAGTTGTATTTAAATATTGGTTATAGTACTTGGACGTATCGCTATGGGCTTTGGCTAGATGTTTTAAGAGCGGCTTCATAGTAGGTTCTTGATGTGTGTATACCGTCTGTCCACCACTGGGGAGCCACACAGGTCCTCATTGTGATAACATTTATGTGAAGGGATAGATTGACCAAAGTCCATTCTAACTTGCTGACTATTTTGCTACTGTGCTCTAGAATCTTCTGTTCAGTTGTCTTTATATGCGCATTCACACTCCAATCTTGAATTGTCTGCAACTCGAAGAGCAAGAAAAAGATTGTAAGTTTTATAGCTTTAAGTCTTATTAAATCTGCTGAGGTATTGTGGTTTTAAAATATGAATAACTATTTATTTATAATCGTTTTTTTAAAAATAAGTTTTTTAGCCAGTTTTCGTTAACAATTGCAGAAAGGTCGGATTCTAATTTTTCTCATATACTTCCTCCTATCTCTTGATACATAAATTTCCTGTTATTAACCTTGCATTATGTGGCATGTTGTTACTAGCATGAGCAATAATTGATATATTATATTAACCAAAGTCATTAGTTTACTGTACTCTTTGAGTACATCCTGTAGGGTTTTGGCAAAGGTATAATCATTGTATTTATTGTGTTCCTACGAATTTTCATGGCTAAGTTCCTTGTGCTCTCCTATTCATTCTACTCCTCCCTTACTCATGCCCGTCTGATCATTGGATCTTTTTACTCTCTTATATTTTGCCTTTCAAAAGGTTGACTTTAGCAATAAGCCATATTTTATTCTGTGAACGCAATAAAAACTTAGCATAAACTGCCTATTCTCATTAATTATATTAAAATATATATTGAAGTATACAATCTTTTTCTGTATTTTTATGTTTTCATCATCAGGCTTATTACTTTTTTTTTGTGGATAACTGAAAACTTTATAATGTCTTTTTTTATGCTTGCATTTGTTAATAGGTGTTACGATTAGAGAAGCCATCCGTAGTTTCTACTTTTAGCACCTCATTTGATATGAGCTCAGACGTTGTAAAACTCATTCATTGCATATTGATTTAATAGGCTGTTGAATCACTCTGAATCATTGGATAATCAGAAGTGTGACTCTGTAAATTCTCGAACACTTGTAT